CCATGGTTTGCGGTCTTCACAGTAACAGCGTTCTTCCATTGCTTTACTATTTGATCCCGCGTTGGCTGGGTAACGCATTGCGATCCGGAGTGTGTGTCTTTTGGATGCAATTTTGATGTGTCGGCCTTTCTGCCTGCATGGAAACATTTGGGCATTTGGCCAGGAACGCGCTGTCTGGCCACTCGCTTCTGCTCGCCGTGTGACCAAGTCAATATGTGTTTGAGCCTTCTCCGACTTGAATGTAGCAGCCGATGTTGCTGTTTGCCAGGAGTTTAAGATTACAAGCTCATGATGCTGTAGGATCTGAACTAGTTAAGGGCTGTCCTTCGGGATGTTCTTCGATTTGGAAGTGCCTGGTCCAGCTTGTTCCAGATTTTGTTGTGCTTGGCGTAAACCTCAGGCTATTCTGACGATTTTGCATGCTGATACAAGCAGGGTATGGACAGCGGTCTTCGGCGAAGCGGCTGTGGCTGACTCCGGCAATATCACTTTTAGCAGACGGCCTGATACTAGCTCATCATAGCGGCAGTCTTTCAAGGATCCAAGCGATTTATTGATCAACACGGCAACTCCATAGAAGAAGGATGCTCTCCAGGTTTCCTGAAGCAGGACCACATGCACCGACTGCTGCACCGACTGGGAATGCAACCAAAGCTGGACTTCATCATAGGCATCCTGATTCAAGCCCCCGACATTGAGCGAGACTATGTTCAAACCCTTGCCGGGCTGTGCAGTAACGCTGCGCTGGGCGACTGCAGGGCAATCCTGCAGACTCAACGAGACGACTTTCCGGGGCCTCAGGTTTGACAAAGCGATATGCTGCGGCTGATATGCTTCACCTGGTACACCGAGTTGCTTGAGTGTTAATTGCTTTCCACGATACCAAGTCACACCATGTAGCTGGGCCCGACGTCGAGCCCGCTGTAGGCTTCTCTTTTGTACTGCATGGTGTCCACCGCAATGCTTCGACACATCATGGTCGTGTCGGCTGAAGTCATCGTCATGTGCTCCAGAGAGTCCAGCGGTGAGACTCTCAACCCTCGCATCCACCTCACCCTCAATGTGTCCGAAAAATTGTTGATACTGCAGGTCCGCGTCAACGGAAGGCATGAAATCATAAAAGGCTTGCATGACCGTTTCCATGTGGCTTGTGCACGCATCTTGAATAAAAGTATTGTCTGCAAGATCTTCAAAAAACCACTGACTGCATTCTGGAAATTGTTGTTCAAGCCCTGACGGTCCGGAGAGAACCCTGGCCTCAACGTTGACCAGCCGTTCATGCAACCGCTGCCAAGCTGCCAGTGACGCCTTCCGTGCAGCTATCTGCACTGCCTTGCACAGGTGAGGTCCCGGGACTTGGGACCCGGGAGGGCTGACTCGTGTTGTACATGCTCAAAATAAGTAGGCGGAGCAAACAGCTCCTGAAGTGCGAATGGAACCAAAACATTTGAAAATACGTAGGTCAAAAGAGCGGCTGGGTAGTTAAGAGCTGTCCAGCCCTCCAATTGCAGCCGCGATGGTCTCGGAAGCACTTCTGCCGCTAACTGCAAGACAACTTCCGCCTTTTGGTCCAGCCAAAACAGCGACACGGTGTATGATACGCCGGGCCTGTAGGGTATCCGCAGGAAGTTCTTCTAGCAACAGTTCCAAAGCTACTGCTCGGATATGTAGTGCTGGAGTAAGCGTAATTGTTCCACAGCCTCGGTGGCCGTGCCACAGATGTAATGCCGAAAGTGTACTTCACAGTGGGTGAGCAGGCAAAACTCTGTAGAAAACAAAAGCCAGTAATGCACCTCTGAAAAATCAAGTGTGTTCAAGCAGTCAGCAGCTGAACGCAGCGCGCTGGAAAAAAGCTCCTATGGCAGTTTCCTTCCCCAGCCGCCCCACTACGTGCAGCTACACGCAACTCACCTACAAACGAGCTCGAGCCCCAGATGCTTCATTGGCGGCTATGCACTCGTGGGAGCGCAGTTGACGTACACTTTTTAGCGCGGCTTCCCCCCGAGGTTTTTGGAATTATGGCGGTATTTCCACTTTTGACCGTTTTCGTGCTTCTTGCATGGGGACTTGGTCGTGGATTGCCCTCTGCACACCAACGCCGCAACGGATTGCCCTCTGCACACCAACGCCGCAATGCCACTTATACCGTTTATTGGTCTGCCCACTGCGGGCTGCCGAGGCAATGGATTTTTGGACTTTAGTGTGCGCACAGCGGCGACGAAACGGTTTCAAGGGGGCTGTCCGTTGTCCGACGGGATTAGAACGGCGGCCGGAGTCTTGTCTTTGGACTCCGCCCTTGTGCCGGGCGGTTTTGGGCAACGGCTCATTTCTGCTCCCGACCTGGTAGTCAAGTAGTTAGCTGAACGGCTGATGTCGACTAAGTTTACAGGCCGCAGTTCTTGCTGCTTAGATGTCTCTACTCTACGTTTCACCGCTGTCTTGTTGTTTGTTTTCGGTCGATGTTTCGAATTTTTTTGTTAGGGACTGAGCGCAGCAGCCGCTGTCATCGAAGCCCGCCCAAGCAAAAAAAAAGGTTTCCTGCGGGTTTTTTTTGCACCTTTGACTTTGCGCAGCGAAGCTTTGCCAGCATGAACTGCGCCCTGAACATCAAATTCAGAAACATCCGCATGGAGAAGCTTGCTCCCTGGGCCAATTCTCTTGATTCTCTTGGCCGCTGTGATCCCAGTGCACCTGTCGGACTATATGCGCGGCGCTTCGACTTCCAGACCGGCCTCAAAGACCGCGAGGTCATGCACAAAGGTCGCCTCGATTTCTGGAGATCCATCATATAGAAGGGCAAGGGCACAAATCAGCATCAGACCTGAAGTTTGCAGGTTGGTCCTCAAATCGTTCGTGCAAACAACCAGGAAAAGATATGTCCTTGGATGACCTTTTGAAGGACAACACTGGCACAACTGTTTTCAAACACAACAAGCCGAAAAGATCCTAGCCTCAAGAACAGCCAGACTGATTCCGACTTGTTCTCTTGCTGATTGGCGAAAAGGCTAATCTGTATTGAATTTGAGGATGGGCATCGATGTGGAAGTCGCCGCCAGATCCTTGGGAGCCCGTTCAAACACACCGCCCGTTCCTCAGCACCGCTTCGGGGACGTGTGCTACACTCCAGCCAGGCGCGCAGCATCTTTATGTGAACTGTGTGATAGCGTCGGTACGCCCAGCAGACGTTACCACCAAGAACCTTTGCTTCGCCGGCTGGGGCAACATGGTGATTGGAAAGCGGCACAAGGATCGAACCCACTTCCTTGTTTGTGGTGGGTGAAGATTTCACACCGCACATTTTCCAGAACTGCACGCAGGTGGGACAGACAACTGCCTATTTGCCTTCAGCATCAGTTTGTCCTGATTGAGCGGTAGGCTCCATCCAGAGCGCGGATCACCGCCACACCCTCTGGATTGGAGGGACGTGCGAGTGAACACGGTAGTTCCCTTAAGTACCCAACACCCGAAGGCTTGAGGTAGGCTACCCTTATATTTGTAGTGTGTGTACAGTCCTAACCGCTGCGCAGTGCAGCTCTTGCCGACTTCGGAAAAGGGTGCGCTGCCTTAAGCCCGTTTTTAGCTGTTCTCGTAGACAGCCGGAGGGATCTCCAGCTGGCGTCCACACCGTTTTGGAGCCGCAGAGCCAACTCCAGTCTTCTACCTGCCGCCGGCGGGCGGCAGGTATTGATGACTCTGCCATCCTGGGCCTGCCGAGTTTGCTATGGGGGAACGACCCGCATTTTCATTGACATGCTTTGTTTTGATGGGCAGCTCGCTTTTTCGCGTGGCAGGCTGTTGTTTTGCTTGCGTGTTTTTTTTGAAAGGCTGTTTTCGTGGGCCTCGGCCAAGCAAGCAGTGGCAAGGCAGCACTGGCAGCACATGCAGCATTGGCAGCAAGAGCATCGCAGGCAGCAACAGCAGCGCAGAGCAGCACAAGCAGCAAGCATAGAGTGGCCAGTTCAGTTCCTGGGCGTTCAGCACTGACCTCAGATCTTATCGCGCAGCGGAGGGCAACCTTCTTGCTCAGGTAGCTTTCCGCCTTGCGAAAAGCCCCCCCTTCTTTGTATTGTAGTCCCTTAACCCACCGCTGCCTCAGGTCACCGTGTAGTGCTCCTGTTCTTCGACCGTCTTTGCCTCTGAGCGCGCTTGCCGCGTCGGTTTTGCCTGCGACAGCGAAGGTTGCAAGGTTCCTGTTCAGAGGCGTGGGTGGGTGATCTTGTTTAATCAGCTCTAGTCATAGCCCCAGCCTAAACACCTTCGAGCCCCCTATGCCTGGTCCACCTTGCCACTTCAGTCGTCGAGGTGTTTATCTTCTTCGGTCTGTTTCAGCCTCGTAGTGACTCTTGCCGGGTCTCTGCCGTGCTGGGGTTCCATACGCCCAGGTGCTCTCGCGATCCCATTGCGGTGCTGCAGTGGCCCCTGAGTGATTGCAAAGCCGCTGAGTCCTTGTTTCATCACATTGGCATTGCCTCGACCTCTGCGTTGTGTGTAAGCTACTCAGCTACTCAGTTGCTTGCGGTGCCTGGGGATTCTACGGCGTTCTTGTGAGGGTTTGCTTGTGGTTCTAGTGTTCGGTAAAGTTCCATCCGGTCCAGGTGTTCTCGCGACCTCATTGTAGAGCTGTCGTGGCTCCTGAGTGATTGCATGGCTTCTGAGTGCGTGCTAGTGTCTGAATGTCTTGCGTCAGCGCTCGTAGTTTCTGTGCCAGTGTCCGAAACCCTGTTGCCTTCTCGGGGTGCTGGGAGCTGGGGAACTAGTCCGAAAACCAGTCAACCCTGTCACCCTGCTGGTGAATACCATCAGTATAACCCCAACATAGCCCCAATATGCTCACTATACTATCACGATACCCCCTAAAAACTCCAAAAATACACTCTGCAATGTGCCTCAGTAAACCACCAATATACCCCCAATATTAGGCATCTATTGCTGTATTGCTGGCGGGCGGACGGCCGAGTGGTTCAAGTTCGCAGGTCCATGAGAACAACCGCGCTTGCAAGATGGCGCCAGCAACCCCAGCTTCCCGAAACCATCAGCAAAGGGCTTAGGGTTTAGGGTTTAGGGGTTTAGGGGTTTAGGGTTTAGGGTTTAGGGTTTTGGCTTGCGGGACCTTTTGAGTTTTCGTGGTCATAATTGTTGTTTTACAGCACATAATCGAGACGAAGAAAGCTTAGGTTTTCAAAGCACATGATTTGAATGCGCAGAAGTTTCCTTTATCACTTACGCGTGGAGTGCTTTTTGTAAGCTTTTGTGTTCTTTGTGTTTTTTCCTCAATAGGGACTCAGTACATGCCAGGTTCTGTTGGGGATTGAGCATTTAATTCACCTGGAGGCTGCCTCCAGACTTTTGCGCCTGAACCCTAAATCCTAAACTCTAAACCCTAAGGCCCTAAGCCCTAAACCCAGGCTTCATTGCTGTTCTGGGCTTGTGTGATCTTCGGCAGCTGCGAGGGTGGCGAGGACGTGGCTTCCGTGTCACCTTGCCGAGACTTCGACGACTTTCTGCCAGATGAGGCGGACAGCCAGGGTCCGTACTTTGTTGAGGCTTATACCCCTAAAGTATTGCAGTATATCCCCAGTAGGTAAACTAGTATTCTCTGCCATCTTTCCTTCTGAGATACTACGCGAGTTCTGCATCGTCCCATCGCGTGCCACAGCCACAGCATGATGGTGTTGTGTTGTGCGCTTCTCCGGGTGCTACTGCTCGTGGGACTGCGTGCAGATGCGCCAAATGATCCCAGCGTGTGTGGAGCTGAATGGAGCTGAGGTAGACAACGTGACCTGCAAAGGTCACGGCTGTATCGTCAGCAATGATCTCGTGGGGCTGCCTTGGTTTTGCATTTTGCGAAAGCAGTGTGACTGACAGGGAAGGAAAGGTCGGTTTGACATTTGAGCGATTGCCAGGGTTCGTGGAGTTGCTCCTGCGATCGAGAGGCGTGCGGGTTAGCGAGTTGTGAAGCCTGCCAAGCCGTTTGATCCGTAAATATAGGGGCCTTTGTGATTAGAATAGGGTTTGGGGTTTGGGGTATATCATACTATAACTTTAATAAAGAACCCCCAAAATATTATAGGTAAGTATTAAGGCCCCTGTTATACAGGGCATGAGAACTGTGAGGCCTCCTGCCTGGCGCTTGGCGGACGTTGGAATCGCCAGACTTGTGCCCAGGAGCTGACGATGAGAGTCGAAGACTTGGCCTGGCTCGAGGCTCTTAAGTTCGCGTTGGAGCGGGGTGGCCCTGGCTGTTCTGAGATGACCTTGCGTGGAGAGAAGCTGGAGGATTTGATCCACGAGCAAAGCAGGAAATGCTGCGCCTCCTTCCCTGCCAACGCCTGTTACCAGGATGCTCGGAAGATGTCGCCTTGCAGGAATGAGGAAGACTTCCTGCCAGAGAAAATGATGTCTGAGAGCCAAAGCTGTGGTGCCATTGTGTACGACTGGAGCCCGTCCGTCCACCGCAGCATTGCCAATGACTGTTTGGGGTATGACAGGCACAGTACAGGCCGCACATGCTGCGTTCGGGACCCGGTCTGCGAGACTCCGTACATCTACTTCGAAGTTCTTGGGAGTCTGCTTTTGGGTTTGGGTGGAATGGGAATCCTCTTTGCGACCTGGCGCCTCCGCCTCCCGCAAGGAGCTCTTCCTTTGGAAGCCTCGGATAAGGAGCTTCTGAAAACAGGGCTTCGCGGGGATGGCGCGGCATTGCACGAGAAGGTGCCGAAGGAGAACTGGTGCGTAAGCCGTGACGACCTGCGGCAGTTCCGCCGGCTTGTGATGAACGCCGTTGCTCAAGGATCCATTCGGCCGACTGATCGTGACCCCTTCGAGCCATCAGACTTGACTATAGGACCGTCCGTTTACACCATCACCGATCAGTTCATCAAGCCCATGTCGCAGCGTGCTGGCAATATGAGCTGGGCATTGTTAAAGAATCCCAATGGTTTGCGCTGCGACGTGTTCGTCACCCACTGCTGGGCAGAGGGCATCTACGAATTCCTTGATCGGGTGGAGCATTCCTGGCCTGGAGGTGCACGTGGTGCATACGCATCTAGGTGGCAGCTTCGGGGCAATTTTCAATGTCCTTTGTGTACCTGTATAATGTATAAAGGGGACTTCTGTATCCGAGAGCTACCCAGGCATGTTTCTTATCCAATCCGCAAAACCTTGACATTGCTTCCCTCATCTCCAGCCCAAGCATGTCGCCATTCGCTGTGGCGTTGCGTGTAGCATCTGACGTGCTCGTACTTCCGAACCATGCGGTGAGCATCTACGCGCGGCTTTGGTGTGTATATGAGGCATTTCTCGCATATTCCTGGCAGAAGAACATCAGGACAGCTACCAGGCATCATCAGCGCTGGAGTCGCATTGCTCGCATCATGTGTTTGTGCCTTGCCATCCAAAGTGAATGTTGCTGTAAATTCTTAACTGCTTGTTGATGCTTTCTGCAGACAGATGCGCTTGGGTGCTTTTAACCTTTGCGCTTCACGAATGTTATACCCAGTATACCCAGTACATTGGGTATACTGGGGCATACTATACTGTAGGCGGATACTGGATACATATCCATTCTTCAGGTGCCTTGCAGCCACAGGAGCAGCAGTATTGCTGACGTTTGGAGATGGCTTTGGCCCGCGCCTCCTGTTATCAGGAGGTGTGGCATGTTTCTCGGCAGGCTGTTTGTGCAGTATCTTACTTGTTGTTTTGGCAGTAACCTAAGCCATCGAAGCCCTAAACCCTGAACCGTAAACCTTAAACTATCTTAAATCGTAAACCCTAAACCAGTCCCCAACCACATGGTTTTCTTGCCCTTGCTGCAGTCGGCCTCCTGGTCACAAATGGCATCCTCATGAGGCGGGGATTCCATGGAGCTTCGTTGCAGGCATGCAACGCGTTCCTCTGTGCTGCTGGCAGTTGGACTCTTTCAGCTTTTCTGTTACTGCCCCTGCAAGAAACCATTCCGCGGCCGGCGACATCAGCTGCGCCCGCTGCTTGGATCTGCTTCCTGGCTTTCTGCTGTGGTGCTGAAGTTGATCGGATGGCGACCGTGGATGGATCGCTGCGAAGTCTTTTCTTGGCAAGGAGCTTTAGCGGTAGGTTACTTGAGGCTGAATGCTCATCGCTCGATGACAAAGCCAAGATCCACGAAGAGCTTCTAAAGAGCGGCAAAGCGCAGGATGTGGAACAGGCCGTGCAAGACTTGGTGCGCATGAACACGTTTTCTTTGGAGCTGCGGCGTGCAGCGGATTTGGCTGGACCGCTCGGCGACATGTCCTACTTCGGCTGGCGCTGGGTCATACTGGGGATATTTGTGTGGTGTTGCTTCCCCGTAATGTATATGATGGGAGAAGCGTGGAGCCCCTGGGCTCTTGTTAAGGGATTTAAGTTACCATGATAAAGATACCACATTACATGGTCGACTATAGATCCCCATTATGGTAACTGGAAATACAGCCCTTAATCCCCTAAAGGAACGCTTATGGATCCCCTAAAGGAGCCCTACGTTAAATTCCTTAACAAGAACCCAGGCCAAGCACATGTCTTCGGCATCCCGATGGTGATACAAGGAGTCTTGTGGCTCTTGATATTCTGTACTTCGGCCGCGGACAGGCAATGCTTTTCCTCAGCCACTTTACCAATATGGCTCTGTACATCTCCGCTACTGTTCTTGGGCCAGCTTATTGGGGTGGACACCTTTGTAGTGTTCTTCGGTTTAGGGTCCCTTTTGCTGGGCCCCTTCTGCCTCTGCCTGCTGCTTGCGGGTCCTCACCGTATGGCCCGTGTCCCCGTCGTGGGGCCCCGGCTGGTGCAACTTTGCATTGGACATGGCCTTACCTTCAATTTTCAGCAGCCAGGAGCTTCTGGAGCTTTAGCCCCTCCAGCAGACGTTGTCATCAAAGATGCAACGATATCTGTTTGAATGCAGCTGCGGAAAGGAAGAAGGTTGAGTAGGACAAAGTAGGATAGATCTGAGTCAATGTTAGACTGAAATGGCAGTTTCCGAAGATAATGGGACCCTAATATAGTACCCTAAATACTAGGATCCTTAATAATTTTAAGGACCCCAAAATAAGGTACCCCTTATTTTCGGAAACTCCCGCATCAGGCTAGCTAGCCGACCGCGCCTGCGAGTTGCCCTCTCGGCTTAGCCTTTGCGGTCTTCTCTGCTTTAGGTACGGTTGATGATATAAATCCTACATTACCCATAATAAGGAATATACCATAATTCCCATAGTTTAGGGTCCTTAAGGTCATGCAGGATTTATATCATCAACAGTAGTACGCTAACACCGCAAGCATCGTTTCAGGGCCACCCTGTTTTCTTTCAAGGATCAAAGGGGAAAAGGAGGGACCCTTAATGGGGACCCCTACCCTATAATGGGCTAAATAATGGGTATATAATGGCTATATTATGGGTATATACCTAGGGGTCCTAGGGGGTCCCTCCTTTTACCCTTTGAAAGGAATGGGAGCTTCTCAAGACGACAGTCCCCTCATTTGGGGGTTCTTGTTCTTGAACTTGCAGTACTCTGCTGAGGAATACCCAGCGCCTACGCGCTGTATCCCCAGACCTGCAAAAATTCCTTAAGGAATATATCTGAAATCATATTGGGCATCCTCTTCTAATTCAAGGTGTAGTCCTTAATTGAGGGATTTTGGAGTCCCCTAAACCCTGAAGCCTATAGATCCCTTAGAGATCCCTTGAGCGCTAGCTACTCCTTAATTAAGGGCTTTGGAACCGCTTGCAGGATGGAGCCAGCTTCGCTAGGCTTCAAGGAGGGTTTGGGGTATAGGGGTTACGGTCTAGGGTTCAAGGCTTAGAGTTTGGGTTTTAAGGTTTAGGGTTTGGGGTTTAGGGATGTGTTCCTGATGTTGGGTCTTGTATTGGACAGGGACAAGTATTGTTCAGAAGCCCAACATATCCGTGCTGTACCCCCAATGTACACACGAAGCCCTGAACCCCAACCCCCCCAAAATACTCCAATACGCTCATAAGGTCTGAATTAATGCCCATTATACCCCCAAAACCCGTTTATACCCAATAATTATATGCAATATGGTACAAGTATGCGGGGTTTGGCCTAAACTCTACATAGTGCATGTCCCTACGTTGGGTGCCCTTCATTTTGGGAGGAGGAGTATCACGAGGATGATGGGGCCCCTAAATCCCCCCCATCGCCCCACTCTTTCTATGCCAGAAATCACAATCCAAGATTCCACAATCCGGTCTGAACACGAACCACTTTGGCAGACATCGCAAGCAGAGCTTGCCATGCTCCAGTTGCATTTCATACAAAGCTGTTTTGAAGCTCAGGGCTTAACGTTAAGTTCATCTGCGCTGTTTGGCTCAAGTTTCCTTGGTTTCGCTGCAGCCTTGAGTTGCTAAATGTGAAACATGATTTCACAGCTGCCCTGGCTTCTTTGTTTCGCCTTAGGCGCAGGAGGTGCGCTGCATCGCACCCCACCTCAATGCCATTCGAAGCTTGAGCATTCGAAGCTTGTGCCCTTTCAGAAGAACCCCGCACAAAGAACCCCACCGAAAGCACATGACATCGACTTCCACGAGCCCTTACCATCCTCCCAAACTTGCTCTGTGCAGGCCAATGGGCTGTGCAGCAAGGGCCTGTGCCTCAATGGGAAATCGGCTTACAACATCTAGAAGGCGCCGTGTCCTTGCTCAGGTCTTGCGTGCTGGAGGGGGATGGTTGCATCGTCAGCACGAATTACCCGAGCAAATATCCCAACAACGATCTCTGCACGATCCAGGTCGACAGTGGCAACACTCGTCCCATTCGCGTGGATGTCTTCGATACCGAATCCGGCTGGGACCATTTGGTGGTCAATGGCGTGGAGTATGACGGCACAAGTGGTCCAGATGGGGTTGTGCCAACATCAAATATTCAGTGGACTTCTGTGTCCTGGCTTGGCTGTTGTAGTTTGCTTGTGCAGGCTTGGCAAAACCACCCGGATAGCTGCTTGAGCTGCTTGTGCGAAATACTCAGGATGGCAGTGAGACCGATGTTGGGTGGCGCATCTGCCTGGAAGATGTAGAGGGCCCAGTGACAGGCTAGAAAGCCAACTGACTGCTCCTTGAGTCCTAGAGATTGCAAGCAAGGTCACAACCACCACCACCACCACCACTCTCCGTGAGGCGCAATTGGCTGTGGTTGAAATCCCTGTGTCCAGAATATAAATAAATGGAAGCCGGCTTGAATGCTGGCTGTGTAGCAGATTGGTGTCTTCAGCTTTTGCCAAGCAGGATGGGTGGAGCGTATCTGCTGGGCACGATCCTCAGAGGTTGTTGTCTTTGTCACTGCAACAGGTTGTTCAGACAAACGTACATACTATGTACAACGAGAGATTGTCCAGAGCGCACAGGAAAGCAATTCATGTAGAAGAGATTCCGACATTGCTTCGCGCTTGCCGGCACGGCACTGCTGCATGTCACGATGAATCCGCGGTGAGGTCTTGCGCGCTGGAAGGGGATGGTTGCATCGTCAGCACGAATTACCCGAGCAACTATCCCAACAACGATCTCTGCACGATCCAGGTCGACAGTGGCAACACTCGTCCCATTCGCGTGGATGTCTTCGATACCGAATCCGGCTGGGACCATTTGGTGGTCAATGGCGTGGAGTATGACGGCACAAGTGGTCCAGATGGGGTTGTGCCAACATCAAATATTCAGTGGACTTCTGTGTCCTGGCTTGGCTGTTGCAGTTTGCTTGTGCAGGCTTGGCAAAACCGCCCGGATAGCTGCTTGAGCTGCTTGTGCGAAATACTCAGGATGGCAGTGAGACCGATGTTGGGTGGCGCATCTGCCTGGAAGATGTAGAGGGCCCAGTGACAGGCTAGAAAGCCAACTGACTGCTCCTTGAGTCCTAGAGATTGCAAGCAAGGTCGCAACCACCACCACCACCACCACCACCACTCTCCGTGAGGCGCAATTGGCTGTGGTTGAAATCCCTGTGTCCAGAATATAAATAAATGGAAGCCGGCTTGAATGCTGGCTGTGTAGCAGATTGGTGTCTTCAGCTTTTGCCAAGCAGGATGGGTGGAGCGTATCTGCTGGGCACGATCCTCAGAGGTTGTTGTCTTTGTCACTGCAACAGGTTGTTCAGACAAACGTATATACTATGTACAGCGAGAGATTGTCCAGAGCGCACAGGAAAGCAATTCATGTAGAAGGGATTCCGACATTGCTTCGCACTTGCCGGCACGGCACTGCTGCATGTCACGATGAATCCGCGGTGAGGTCTTGCGCGCTGGAAGGGGATGGTTGCATCGTCAGCACGAATTACCCGAGCAACTATCCCAACAACGATCTCTGCACGATCCAGGTCGACAGTGGCAACACTCGTCCCATTCGCGTGGATGTCTTCGATACCGAATCCGGCTGGGACCATTTGGTGGTCAATGGCGTGGAGTATGACGGCACAAGTGGTCCAGATGGGGTTGTGCCAACATCAAATATTCAGTGGACTTCTGTGTCCTGGCTTGGCTGTTGCAGTTTGCTTGTGCAGGCTTGAAACCACCCGGATAGCTGCTAGAGCTGCTTGTGCGAAATACTCAGGATGGCAGTGAGACCGATGTTGGGTGGCGCATCTGCCTGGAATCAATTGTAAAAGGCTGAGTGGCAAGGGGGTTGTTCCGTCGGCCACGCAAGCCCATTGATTGCCTGCCAGAGACTGCCAGCAAGGTTACCGTGACGACGACCACGACCGCAACCAGCACCACCACCACGCCTGTCGCCTCCCGCGAGGAGCGCTTGGCTGTGATGGAAGCCGGCTTGAATGCTGGCTGTGTAGCAGATAGGTTTGTCCAGCTTTTGTCGAACAGGATGGGTGGAGCGTATCTGCTGGGCACGACCCTCAGAGGTTGTTGCAAAAGGCTTTTCAGAAATTCGTTCATATACTATGTACAGCGAGAGATTGTCCAGAGCGCGCAGGAAAGCAATTCATGCATCCGCGGTGAGGTCTTGCGCGCTGGAAGGGGATGGTTGCATCGTCAGCACGAATTACCCGAGCAACTATCCCAACGACGACTCCTGCACGATCCAGGTCGACAGTGGCAACACTCGTCCCATTCGCGTGGATGTCTTCGATACCGAATCCGGCTGGGACCATTTGGTGGTCAATGGCGTGGAGTACGACGGCACAAGTGGTCCAGATGGGGTTGTGCCAACATCAAATATTCAGTGGACTTCTGTGCCCTGGTTTGGCTGTTGTAGTTTGCTTGTGCAGGCTTGGCAAAACCACCCGGATAGCTGCTAGAGCTGCTTGTGCGAAATACTCAGGATCGCAGTGAGACCGATGTTGGGTGGCGCATCTGCCTGGAATCAATCGTAGGGGGCTTAGTGACAAGGTCGGCATGACTGCCTGCCAGAGCTTGCCAGCAAGGTTGCCGTGACTATGACCACGACCGCAACCAGTACCAGCACCAGCACCACGTCCCGCGAGGTAGCCGGTGGGTTGGGGAAGTAGATTATATCATGCTATAGTAAAGTATAGTGCAATCTAAAGCTCATTTTTGCACATTGTAGAAAAGTATAGCTATACTAGAGTATAGTATAGTGTAGTATAGTATATAGTCTGTTACACATGTTCATCATGGCCCACCGTTGATGCAAAGAAGGTCACCAACACGTCCACATCGAGTGCGACGTCCACTCCGACGTCCACTGTGACTGAGGTCCACGCAGACTTGTGCCGGCGTTTGTCATTTTGTAGTGGTTTAGGCTTCTCAAGGCTTTATGATTGAGCTTGTCCCAATATGTAAGTGGAAGCCCTTGATATGATGCTGCTAGACTGCAGAAGTCAAGATCTACGAAGTCCCATTCCCGCACCACCAGTGTTTCAAAGGCATACATCGTAGCGCCCGATCCATTTCTTGATGTTTCTTGGCCACGCAAGGTGACTTCCACAAGCAGCGCCACGACGACGGAGACGGTGACCAACACAACATCAACCAGGTCCACAGCAACCAGCTCGTCAAGAACTACCCTGACGACCACCACCTCGACTGTGAGATCCTTACCATAGGGGCCTCAATAATTGGAACAGGGTTTCGGGGTGTATTATACTGTAATTACGGTTGATGATATAAGTCCTCCATTGCTTCAATGACCTTAGACTATGGGAAATGTTGGATATTCCTCGTTATGGGTAATGCAGGGTTTATATCATCAACACTTACAGTCTGGAATCTCCAACGTATTATAGGTAGTTTGCGGCTCTTTTGGAAGCCTGCTGGCTACACCCCGTGTTGGAACGGAGCCATCATGGGAACTCCGATCCATCTGTATTGTTATTGTCGGTGTTATTGCTACTGCTATTGTTGCTATATTGTTACTCTTATTCTGACTCTTCGTCTTCTTCTTATTCTTATTTAAACATGGTTATTTGTTATTGTTATCTGTAGGTCATCACGACCTCTTCGACCAGCAGCACAACCCACACGGCCACGACGACGGAGGTCACGGGTTGCTTTTAACTCTAAAACCCTGGAGCCTGAACCCTAAGCCCTAAGCCCTAAACTCCTAAACCGTAAACCCTAAACCCTAAACCCTAAACCCTAAACCCTAAACCCCTAAACCCCTAAAGCCGAAAGCTCAAGCCCCTCAGCTCTGGACCCCCGACCCCAAGTTTTCAACCAGACTTTTAACCCCGAAGCTTCAACTCAATCCTAAACTCCAAAATCCCTGAGCCCAAAACTCCGAAACTCCGACACCCTTGGGTTCAGGGTTTAGGTTTAGGGTTTAGGTTTAGGGGTTAGGGTTTAGGGGTTAGGGTTTAGGGGTTAGGGTTTAGGGAAACTACTAAACTCCGAAACTCCCAAGCCCCATGGTGCAGGGCTTCTCGGAAGCAAGGATCTCAGGTCGTCTCATGCTGTAGTGCACCTAGCATTCCCTTAAGCAGAAAGACCCTAAAAGTCTAACAGTGTATGGTTTTCGGGTTAGGGTTTAGGGTGGGTTTGGGGAGCTCTGCATGGGTTTAGGGTTAAGGGCAACTCTGTGTCGGTTTGGGGTTTCGGATTTAGGGAACTATAGATCCTAAGTCAACCCGTAACTGCTAAGCCCTATAAACCCTATACGCCCCGCAACCTTCAAACCCCTAAGCAGCCCGAAGCCCTATACCCTGAACCCGAAGACCCTATACATTTGGGGTTCCTTATTTTAGTTAGGGTATATTATTACGGCCCCTATATTAGAGTACCCTTATAGATCCCCATTTGCCTTGAACTGCATAACCCAATATCCCTTTTCTTAAACCCTGAATCTCAAAGGGGAAAAGGAGGGACCCTTAATAAGGACCCCTAGGTGTATACCCTTAGTATAGCTATTGTATACCCATTATATAGCCCATTATAAAGTAGGGGTCCCCATTAAGGGTCCCTCCTTTTCCCCTTTGAGAATCCATGTTTCTCAGGGTCTTTGGCGCGTCGCTGCAGGGCCGGGGGCCTGAGAGGACGCTGTTTAGGGCTGAGGGGTTGCTTAAAGGATCGTGGGACTTAGTAACTTTAAAGGGCTCCTTAAAGGGTTCCTATTAGGGATCAAAAAAAGGTTTAGGGTACTTAAAGGATCGTGGGACTTAGTAACTGGGGTTATAATTAAGGTAACTATACTTTTAATTACTTATAGCCCCAATTAGGGTACTTAGAACCTTACTTACTACGTCCCCTGATCCTCCAAGTAGGATGCCTTAGGGTTATTGTAAGGGTTGTATAGTGTACTATAGAGGTCTTGTCGGTTTTCCGGTCCCAGGTTCGGCTCCTCTAGGGGTGTTATAGGGTCTGGGGTTTAGGGTTAAGTTTCTTGGAGTTTCAGGGTTTAAGGTTGAGGGCTGCGAAATCCCACAGAATTGGGCTCTGGAAGACGAAAACGAAGGTTAGGGTTTAGGGTTTACGGTTGCCAGGGTGGGAAGAATGAGATGAGTTGCAAAAGGCTGCATGTGACTGCAAGTGATCAGACATATGACCATGGGACGTAGCAGTTGCCTAGGGACTGTGGTTACCAATAAGGTAATTGTACGTATAATGACTTCTACCCGCCCTAACCAGACGCAAAGACAGGTTCTCCTAAAACCCTAAACCCTAAACCATATGGGTGGTTGCAAAAATTAGGGTCCCTTTCTGGCTCCTTATTATAGTACGGCACTTTATATTTAGGGTACCCAAAACAGGGACCCTAATTTTGACAACTACCCCATATGCTTGGCTTTCGTCTTTAAGCTTTCGGGTGCTCAGACCGACAGTCAGATGTTTGTGCGAGGGGAGGGGGGAGGGGCAGGGCAGGGGTTTAGGGTTTAGGGGTTTGGGGTTTAGGGTTTAGGTTTAGGGTTTAGGGGTTTAGCGTTTAGGGTTTAGGGTTTTCAACGGCTTTTCGGATCCAAGAATTCGGAAGGTTTGGTGGGTTGCCAGCAGAAAGGAAGAGAAGAATCCAAATTGGCATGAGCAAGGCTTGATTAAGGTTGAGGGCATACAGCGGCAGCCCGTGCCCAAGCTAAGGAACCCTCAACCCTAAACCCTCAACCCTAACCCCCCAACCCTAAACCCGAAACCCTAAATTCCCACCCAGGCCTGCTTAGGCCGTACCCACCCTTTTTCTTAGGGTGCCTGGACCTGGACAATGGGTGGAGCCATTGGAGAGTGGTCGAATTCAGCCCCTAGGGCTGAGCCAAGCCATTAGGCCCCTTGCGTGGCGCCCATATTCGCAGAGGGAAAAGATTCAAATTCCAAAGCCCTTGGTGGTCATTTCATTTGGCTCTCCTCAGAAAAGGCCCCAGAGGCCGGCCCAGGGGGCCCCCGAGCTGGCAGATTCCAGGCTCCTTGGCGGGTCCCTGTGGCTGTGGGCCCCCTGGCCCTCCCTGGCACGCCCTGGCCCGCCTGCGCCCCCTGGCCCTGCGCTGGCCCCCCCTGCCCCCCCCTAGCCGCCCCTAGACCCTAAACCCTAGACCCTAGACCCTAAACCCTAGACCCTAGACCCTAAGCCCCTAAACCCCTGAACCCTAAACCCTCAAGGTCCTGCAAGATGGATCCGGATGGCTGCATGCATAGCGTGAACTTCGAAATGGGACACTAGGTAGGGCTTTGGGACATTTTATATTTTCCCTTATTGGGCTTAAGCGGCTTAAGAGTATATCTTATTTACTAACATTTTTCAAAGGCTTTAAACGCCCCACCTAGGACAGCCCTACCCAGCTGACGACAGCTGTGACATCGAGATGCGTGCCAACAACTCCTGGGCCATAGAGGTGGGGATGGAAAGTTCTGTGTTGCACCAACTAGAATAAGGTCTACTATAATGGGCTGCTATAATGAGGTCTACTATACTGTAATGGCTTGCTATAATCAGGGTTCTGCCTTTCCCTTTTACTGCCAGGTCATCTTCTTCAAGACGCAAGCAGGTGTGGACACTAGGTTTCCCAGCAGTACCCTTTTGCCCTTTATATTTTGGGGTCTTCTTATTCAATCCGAAGATTAGGAAAAAGGGTACCCCTATCACCAAGGTGTTACTGGGGAACCTAGGCCCCAGTTACTACGTCCTTAGAACCCTAAACCCTTAAAGACCCTTTGCAAAATCCCTTTCCGAACCCTGAATCTGTAGAATCGCTTCCCCTAAGCCTTATCGAACCCTAAACCGTGAAAGACCCTTTGCAGAATCCCTTTTCGAACCCTAGAGCCTTAAAGATCCTCTGTAGAATCCCAATACCCCAAAACAAAAAACCCTAAGCCCAAGGACAGGCTCCTCCTAGTATAGGAGTTCTACCTGTATCTGCAAGCGGAAAAGAGCCCAACCCTAAACCCTAAACCCTAAAACCTAAACCCTAAACCCGAAACCCTACCCCAAGGACAGGCTGGAGGTGAATGGTCTTCCCTATTCCGGTACGAGAACGAGCGACGGTCCCAGTGGGGTCGTGCCGCAAGGGAGAATCTCATGGCGATCTGCCGCCTGCCCTATTTAGGGTTTAGGGTTTGGGGTGTAGGTGTTAGGGTTTGGGGGTTTAGGGTTTGGAGTTTAGGTTTTAGGGTTTAGGGTTTAGGCTTTAGGGTTTGGGGTTTATTGCTTTCGGTGCTTTGGAACAGTTTCACCCTGAACCGAAACGCCGAAGCTACTCATCAGAAAGCTGCCATCATTCTCACCGTGATTATCAGCACAACGCTAGGATTCATGCTAGGGGCTTTTGGGGTTTAGGATCCTGTTTAGCTGTTTGTGAAACGTTGCTTTTGAAGTGCATTCCATTCTAGACCTGCTGCACTCAGGACGAGGTTACGCAACACCGCGGCTGGATGATTTGTCTCGGAGAGGAGGGCTCCTCGTGTTTAGGGTTCGGGGCTGGGTTCAGGGTGAGGTGTTTTGGATTGAGGATTCGGGAGGTTGAGGGCTTGGTGCAGATAGATTTCAACGCTCTCATTTTCCGGATGGTTGTTACCCGGTTGCTTTGCAGCAGTGCCATTGGTTGTGGTACGAAGGAATTTAAAGGAGCGCATTGCTAAGCTCTGTGGTGCACACGGGGCTTTCCTGATGTGTACATGAATCATCTAAGCTGTCGGTTAATCCCCTTGCCAAGAATGGGTCAGGACAGCCTTGTGCAATCACTGCTAAGGATTTGTAGTGAGGTTCTGTAGCTCTAAACCCTAAACCCTAGAAACTAAACCCTACAGAGTGCTTTTTGCTCCGAACGTGACGGGTAGTTTCATAGCAGGTGCCGACGACCACAACGACCACGACCACCACGACTGAGGCCAGAAGCACAATCTTGATGCTAGGTGCTGGCGGAAAGGTTTGAGAGCGAGGGCTCGAACACGACTTTATGAGGGTGATCAAGTTGTGGGATGGCGAAGCCATGTAGACGTGTTCCGACAACCTCCACCTTGGTGCATGTTCCGGGTTTGGGTTTTGAGGTGGGTTGGAAGTGGATTCTGGCACTCAAAAACAAGATCTGGCGAACATCCCGCTTCATTTTTGTTTTCAACTTGTCCAGCACCCTTTAAGCCACCTGAAGCCAAGATCTTGTGCAGGCAGCCTGGTTTGTTGCGGAGGGGTCGGGCTCTCAGATTTGCTTTGTGAGTTTTCCCATTATATATACTGGTATAATGTAATATATATATATATATATATATGTATTGTGATACAATGGAATCTACTATAAACCCTAAACCTGGTAACTCGCCCGGCAGTCTCAGGTCGTGTGCGCTTGGCAATGATGGCTGCATCAGCAGCTCACGGTACGGGACACTCAACTATCCGCCGAATGACGCGTGCACGATCACTCTGATCAATGAGTCAAGGGTCCTCCAGGTGGAAGCATTCAACACAGAGCAATCCTGGGACAGGCTGACCGTCAATGGCCTCGGATATTCCGGGCCAACCCGGCGTGAAGGCCCCAACGACGTCATACCTGCCGGCAACATCACATGGCTCGCTGACGCTCGCCACTTCATGTACAAGAAGCATGCTGATGTCCATTACCGGAAGTCCACGACTTGTCCATGAGTGCTTCCGAGATGAGGTTTATATGTTATTCAGTTTATATTACATATTGTATATATATATACACATACATACATACACAGAGGGAAGCCCGGTAGGCCAGAGATATGTGCATAATATTTTCGTATTATACTTTTTTTGTGTATTTTATGTAATATTTAACATATATCATATTTCATATTAAGTTATTTGATGAGGGTTTAGGTATTGGTCTGGGGGTGTCAGGTTTCCACCCGAAGTTCAGCTTTGGGCTCTTTTCTATGGTTCCAAGGGTAGAAGGAGGGACCCTTAGTAAGGACCCCTAGGTATATACCCTGAATATAGCTATTATATACCCATTATACAGCCCACTACAGGGTAGGGGTCCCCATTAAGGGTCCCTCCTTTTCCCCTTTTGAATGGTGTGCCCGGCTCATCGGTCACCCAAAGCGCTGGAACTGCCTTGAAGCCTAGTTCCGGCCGAAACTCTAAACCCTGAAACCCTAAGCCCTATATCCTAAACTCCACATCCCAAGCCACAAAGGCCCTAAGCTCTAAACCTTCAAGTATAAAGGCCTCAGTCGCGATCCTAGGATGGCAACTCGCAAGCTCCAGGGTGGAAGATCTGCCTAGAGGAGGCACGTTCGGCGTGGCCAGAAATGGGCTACTGTAGGGGTTTGTAGGTTTAGGGTTAAGAGGTAAGGGTTTAGGATTTAGGATGTAGGGTTTTGAATTCGGGTTTCGGGTTTGGGGTTTAGGAGAATCTGCAGCTTGCATAGAGGATCAGGGGCTTTTGATGAGTGATAAGTACCTTATTGGTCTTGGGGTGTCTGGCTCTACTGAAACAGCAACACCGGGGGGGGGGGGTTTCAGAGTTCCAATTCCTAAACCCTAGACCCTAACTAGGAACCTTTTCCGTCACCTAAACCCTAAACCCTAAACCCTGGGGTTCTCCGGACATTCTGCGGCAAGCGCCAGGTGGATGCTGCTACCCTGGCCGCGCTGCGGGAGCGCTCCTTTGTTGTTTAAGATCAGGGGACTTAGTAAGGGTTCTTAAAGGGCTCCTTAAAGGGATCTTTCAAGGGTTCCGTAAGGGATCTATAGTGTTAGTTCGAGGATCAGCGGACTTAGTAAGTACGGTCATAAGTCTCCTAATTGGGGTTACAAGTAAATATAAGTGTAGTTACCTTACGTATAATCCTAGTTACTAAGTCCCAAGATCCGTTAAGTACAGCTTAACGTGAACGCACTTCAACTTGTTCTTCGTTAGGCTCCAGGCTGGTTATTGTCCGGAGTTCTAGGCGTTTTAGGGTTTAGGGTTTAGGGGTTTAGGGTTTGGGTTTAGGGCCGTTTAGGGTTTAGGGTTTGGGGCTGTGGGGTTTGCTTTGAAGGACTCTCTCTCTGAAGGAGTCGCACCAGATTGCCCCTTTTCACACAACGAGCCCTAGAGAGGTACGTATTACGCCACAGAAGATTCACTGTCCAAACTTCGTAATTGGTAAGCTATCTTTTCCGTGGATTGACATTGTACAAGTTGTATGTTTGCTTTCCCCTTCCCTACCAAAACGTATGCAGAGGGGCCACGTTTGGAAATTTGGTTTGCGCAGGACGCCACCACAACCACGACGACGTTGCAGGCGAGGTGACCTGGGCCCCTTAAGGAAACGAAGCTTCCCCCCCCAGGGATTTAGGGTTTAGGGTTTTTGGGCTTTTGGGTTTGGGGTTTCAGGGTTCAGACTAAATGACATGTAATAAGGGGCCGTTGGCAGGAGAGATGAAGATTTGCGGCGTGCCCTCCATCGTCTTGCAACAACTAGGATACCCCGAACCCTACAGTTTAAGGTTTATGGCCAAAACCTAACCAGGCAAAAGACGGCTCAACAAAAAGGAAGGTTTATGGCTTTGGGCTTGGAGCTCTTGTAAACTAGACACCAGAGGGATCCTTAGGGGTAAGGGGGGAGGGGGTAGGGGATTGTACTTCCTTAAATAGGCCTTATTAGGTCCTTATTTATAGGTATTGAGGCCCCCTACCTCCTTCCCTAAACCCTAAACCCGAAACCCTAAACCCTAAACTAAGCGAGGGGCCGAAACCGTCGAACGACAGGCCCCGAGCGCTCTGGCCGAGGGCCTAACAGCCCGAGCGGCCCTACGAAAAGAGCGGGACGCGGAGAGGGGAGGGTAAAGCCTCCCCGGTCTGACCTGCACAGGTCAACGGTGTAAAGCCCATGGCGGACCCCAACGGGAAGTCTTCGAAATGAGGGACCGCCGTATCGGGACCGCCTCTAGCGTAGCTATATAATAACCCCAAACCGTGACCCATTTGCTCTGGTCCCCCTTTTTGGGGTTAGGATTTAGGATTAAGGGTTTAGGATTTAGGATTTAGGGTTTAGGATTTAAGATTTAGCCTCCGGAAATTTGGATTTTTGCTGGTGATTTTCAAGTGACAAATTCTGTTCATAAAATGTGCCTTTTAGACAAGGCCGGTTGCGAATCTCGAGGTCCCCTCCTTTCTTTTCGTGTGGCTGCTCTTAAGCTTCCGGTTTTCAATATTTAGTCGCGCTTGTCCTTTTCGGAAAAGGACAACCAGCTCTAAAATCTAGATTTAGGATTTAGGATTTAGGGTTTAGGATTTAGGGTTTAAGGTTTAGGATTTAGGATTTAGGATCTAGGATTTAGGATTTAGGATTCTGGATTTAGGGTTTAGGTTTTCGGATTTAGGATTTAGGATTTAGGTTTTAGGATTTAGGCTCCTTGGATTTCTAGGACTTAGGGTGTGGGGGGCCGGACCCCCCCGGACACCGGCAGACACCCCCGGACACCCCTGACCCTCCGGACATGCCGGACTCCTCACACAACAGAGGGCCTCCGGAAATTTGGATTTTTGCTGGTGATTTTCAAGTGACAAATTCTGTTCATAAAATGTGCCTTTTAGACAAGGCCGGTTGCGAATCTCGAGGTCCCCTCCTTTCTTTTCGCGTGGCTGCTCTTAAGCTTCCGGTTTTCAATATTTAGTCGCGCTTGTCCTTTTCGGAAAAGGGCAACCAGCTCTAAAATCTAGATTTTCCAAAGCTGTCAAACGATAAGCTTGAAGGGCCGAGCCGGCCCTGCCATGCCGAAGGCCCGAACAGGGCCGAGGCTACTCCCAGCCGTTGCCTAAACAACAACTTTAACAACTGGAACGTTCATGGGCGCAAAAGTATCAATTAAAAAACCTTAAACCCTAATAGAGTATAGTTTGGGTGGCCGGGGTAGGTTTACAAGCAACGCGAGCGCGCGGCCCGGGGTGCTTCACACCCGAGCACGCGACTTCGCCTGCCACACCCTAAACCCTAAACCCTAAACCCTATGACACCTGGAAGATATAGTTGAGCCTACTCAGGGCCATGGATCCATCTGGCGGGTGACGTCTGGGTGGCCTGGCGGGCGTTTGGGAAGTATGACGCACCTAAACTCTAAACTCTAACCCCTCCCTAAACCCAGATCCCTAAACCCAAAACCCTAAACCCTAAACTCTTAGCTCAAAACCCTGAGCCCCTCACTCTAGACACGAAGCTAAATCCGAAGCCCGAAACCGTTAAGTCTTCAGGAACTTCAGTGCCTAGAGAAAGCTTCCTGCCAATCCTCGCGGAAGTCTGATGAGGGGCCTCTACATTGATATGTTTCGGAATGCAAGGTTCCGAAAGGTTCAGGAACCTTAATGGCTTGGGGTTTAGATTTAGGGTTTGGCGTTTGGAGCTGGGGGCTTATGTGGCACTAATTAGCGCCTTTTTTCGCAACTGCTGCTTCGCAGCCGGTGCGTAGAGTTTCTTGCAGGTTACATGGCAGCCCGCGCAGGAGTATCAGCAAAGGGAATAATGGTAACAATAATACTAAGACTAAAAATAGTAACAATAGTAAAAAATGGTAATACTAGCAAAGGGAACTTTGGAAGACCAAGCCCTTGCATGGATGCAGCTCCATCCCTAGACTGAGTAGGTAAACCCCTAAAGGCCTAAAGGCCTAAAGGCCTAAGGCCTAAAGCCTCAAGCCTAGAAATGCCGGAGTGCTGCGACAAATCCTGTGGGTTCAAGCTCCATCGTTTGCTGCTCTGAGGAGTTGCGACACTTCCCCGGAAGGCTGCATCTCTACAAAGGACTACAGTCCTCCTTGCCGCGAAAGCGAGTGGTGGAAGTCATGCTGGAGAGCCTTGAATGCCAACGGGGGTCCTTGGGTTTAGGGTTTAGGGTTTAGAGTTTAGGGTTTAGGGCCTTGAGTTTTGGTGGGTTATGAGCACCGTTGCCTCTCGCCTTCACTCGATGTTCTCCTAGCTTGAACTCCAAACCGATGATGAATCATCAGCGGTCGTCGGTCACCACTAGTCACTAGCATTGCCATTGCCCTTGCCATTGCGATCACCATTGCGTGGTATTCCCTCCGGCGTTGTGGCCGATGGTCGAATTTTCTATCATGCTATTTGAAGCTTCGGCGGTTCTGATCACATTGATCTTTACGTCGCTGGCATTTCCAATACGGCTGTTGTGCATGTTGCGCGCCTCGGTACTAGCGAACTCGTGCAGCCTCTCCAACTTGAGGAGTGCGTTTGAGGTGTCGGGGTTGAGCAAGACTCAGGGAACGCTTGCGCGAAAGCTTGCCGATGCTGCTGCTTCTGCTGCCTCACTCCTGCTTCGAAAATTTTTATAACCGTGACCTAAAGCCTCACAACACCCTCAACTCTAAGATGCTCTGTTCTCAGCGCTATACGCATCTGAACGGTTCGCACTGAGCCCTAAACCCTAAATCCTGAACCCTAAACCCTGAATCCTGAACCCTAAACCCTGAATCCTGAACCCTAAACCCTGAACCCTGAACCCTAAACCCTATTGAGGAAATTGGTATCCCAACGACGAGGGCTGTGAGATCGAAGTTGACTCGGGGAACAAGTACTGGAGGATCTTGGGGTCGTTTGAGGATGAGAGTTTGGGGTTTGGGGTTCAGGGTTTGGGGTGTGGGGTAGGGTCCGGGGTTTGGGGTTTAGGGTTTGGGGTGTAGGGTTTAGGGTTTAGGGTATCTCTTCATGTCTTCCTTGCCGTCTGTGAGAGGACGAAGTAGAGCACACCGTAGGATCAAAGTCATGGACTTTCAGACGGAGCAGCGGTTCGACACCCTCACCGTCAACGGTATCAAGTATCTTTGTCTATCTTTGTCATAGTTGGGTAGCATTTTGTGTTTTTACGGGTACTTGAAGTCAACGAGGGATAGAAATCCGTATCTTTAAAATGCCATCCCAACCGTGAACGAGGTATTCCGGCGTGCGTGGGCCTGACAAGGTCGTGCCGCAGGGAACGACTCTTGGGCTTTAAGTTGCTCAGGTGCTCCTTATGTGTGTTCTTGCATTGCATGAGAAAAAATGTGTAGGTCTACATGGATGCATCTGATCTCGATGTTGCATTTTTGCATTTTCATCCGCATGCGCAGGTCGCAGGGATTTCGGTGAGGTATGCGCCAGCAGGCGTGTGCATGCCACATGCGTGTGTGTGGCGTGCCAGTCCAGACCATACCCCCAGCAGCCAGCACCACAATCGCAGCCGAACCAGCACAAGGACAGGTCCTGTGCGCTGACTTTGGTTGCAGTCGACTTTCGTTCCGTCGATGCGACCGCCTTTCCGCCAAGTGCCAGGAATATATGGGCCTTAACAATTAGAATAGGGTTGTGGTGCATATTATACTAGAACCATAAGGAACCACCAAAACAGTATTGGTAATGCTTGAGGCCCCTAATGCAAGTCTTTGAACGCAAAGCTGAGGATCGTGTGGCAACCTGCCGCTCGGCTGCAATTTCTGGTAATGTAGGAACCTGATTAAGAAACCCTGGGCCTATAACCTCAAAAAAAGTAGGATTCATTGAAGGAACCCTAATGAAGGCCCAACGTTTCTTAATCAGGTTCCTACATTAAGACCAGGGGGGACCGGTCTGATGTGTCGGCGCCTTGACAATTTGAACAGGGCTTCGGGGCCTCTTATACTAGAGTAATTACGGGGAACACCCAAGAATAGGACCCGTACATTGTCGGCCGTATCTTGAAACACAGGTTCTGCAGATTTCTCAGACCTTCCAAAAATTATAGTAGGATGCCTGATATGGTTTAAGGTATATTCCTCAATTCAGGGATATTGGAGTCCCTTAATCCCTGAACCTTATACGTAGATCCCTCATAGATCCCTTAAAGGAACCCTACTTGGAGGTATAAGTAGGGTTATAAGTACCCTAAATGGAGTTATCCCAATTATAACACTACTTATAACCTACTTACTAAGTCCCCTGTTTAAAGGGTTCAAGTCTTAGGGTTTAGGGTCTAGGGTTTAAGGTTGAGGGTTTAGGTTTAGGACTACTTCAGTTTATTTCCAAATCATGCTAGAAGATTTTGCAGCCAAGACGACCCTGCTGCGCCTTGTAGAGCTAGGGGTTCCGTTACAGGATTCTTATAAAGGGTCTACAAGGGCTTTACAATAGGGTTCTATAGAGCGGGCCTCAATAATTAGCAGAGGGCTTTGGGTCTGCATTTGCGAGATGTGAGACATGTGGGCATTTCTGTAAATTATGGTCACCAGAATTGCACCGCACCTTTCTAAAAAGGACCCTGAACGGGGCCCTCATTGTGACAACTACCCATATCCCAAAACCCTAAACCCTTTTGACAACTACCCATATCCATGGCAACAGCCTGGCCACAGGACTACTATGCTCAAGACATCGGCTGGCAGATGTGTCTCGAAGAGGTCCGGGCACTGCCTTGTCACAGCACTGCTGAACTTAGGACGGTTCAAAAGCTATTGCTCTTAATGCTCGCCTGCCTCATTCAAGCGCAATTCCTCGTATCATCCCCTTGTATAGTCCCGACCTCAAACCCTAATCCCTAAAACTTGAACCCTACGATGTCCTGGAATCTGAAACCTATGAAAGTTACTGTAGGGGCCTAGATAATTACTAATGCCATCTTGGGGGTCCTTTATTATAAGTATAGTGTTATATAATATAGTATATTATACCCGAAAACCCTATTCTTCAGGCCCCTATGTTATGCAGCCATGTAACAGAACCACCCCTGAGAGGTGCCTCTGTGGGAGTTCGCGGATGCGCAGGCAAACCGCTGACAGCAGGATGAATAGGTTGGGTTTAGCGGAGTTTTAGGGTTCTGCTTAAGGGGCTCGACGGTTCGAGGCTTGAGGGTTTTGGGTTAAGGGCTTCAGGGTTGAAAGTTTGGGGTTTGAGGTTTGGAACTGCCACATCTGTCAACCTGCCTTTAAAGCCATGCGTCCTGCAGCGTCATGGTCTCGGAATCCTACATTCGTCTCGCTGAGGATTTGGCCAAATTAAGGTCTAGAAGGCTTTGGGTTTTTTCTGTACTATATGTCCATGTTAATATCCCGCAGGGAGATGACACCCCAAAGATGCCGGCAGGCCGCAGAGTACGGATGGTACATTCGTCCTGGTGGGCTGGGCCCTCAGCAGAAAAATCTGGAAACTTGCGCTGGGTTTCGGGTTTAGGGCTTCGAGGAGTTTTGGGTGCTCTGCGCAGCCATTAGCCAAGGCACAGTTTAGAATTATATGGGCATCTCCAGGTTTCATTTTGAGTGTTTCAGTTACCCGAGACTGAACCCTAAACCCTAAACCTTATACCCCATTCTAGACCCAAGGACGTGCCAGCAGGATTCGGACGGCTGCATCACGAGCGGCGGATACCCCGGCACCTACGGAAGCTCGGGAATGCAATTACCTCAATCCCCAAGCCGCAGTTTGGGGTTTCAGATTCAGGGCTCAGTTTGGGGTTTCAGATTTAGGGTTCAGTTTGGGGTTTCAGATTTAGGGTTCAGTTTGGGGTTTCAGATTTAGGGTTCAGTTTGGGGTTTCAGATTTAGGGTTCAGTTTGGGGTTTCAGATTTAGGGTTCAGTTTGGGGTTTCAGATTTGGGGTTCAGTTTGGGGTTTCAGATTTAGGGTTCAGTTTGGGGTTTCAGATTTAGGGTTCAGTTTGGGGTTTCAGATTTAGGGTTCAGTTTGGGGTTTCAGATTTGGGGTTCAGTTTGCGGTTTCAGATTTAGGGTTCAGTTTGGGGTTTCAGATTTGGGGTTCAGTTTGCGGTTTCAGATTTAGGGTTCAGGATGTAGGCCAAAACCCTAAATGCCATTTTTGGGGGGGGGTTTATGATGTACTGCTTGTACTCCTCACCCTAAACCCCAAACCCTAAACCCTGCAAACCCTGCAAACCCTCAACCCTAAGCCCTATCTGCATGTCTCTGCATGATCCAGGAGACTACGATAACTGTGAGATCGCAGTTTCGGAAGGCAATGCGAAGGCGCCACGGCGCATAGATGTCAGGATTCTTGCGCTTTTTACAATGTAGGATAGTATAATATACTGTACTGTGCCATACTACAATGTAATGTACTATACTTAACTGTACTACAATATAGTATACCGTACTCTACCTATACTATAACATAATCTACTATACTATACTATAACATATGACAGTCCCTTAAGGCACTGAAAGTTGCGCTCTACTTGAAAAGCCTCCTCCTTCCTGACGTAAGGCGCTGAAGGTGGAGCACTTTAACTTGGATTTCTATGACCACCTGGTGGTGAACTCTATCAAGTACGACTGGCACTGGGGCAGCGTAGGTCCCCAAGGAGTGGTGCCGCAAGGAACCATTACTTGGTCCACGGCCCCTCGGCCGGTTGGAGCGTGGGCTTGGGCGTCTGCGTACCCGAAACATACACCTCAACCCGTAACTCCTTGAACCCACAAACCCCAATTCAAATCTTAAACCCGTGACGACTACAGACCCTGCACCCTAAAAAAAAAAACCCTAAACCCCTAAACCCCGAAACTCCTAAACCTCTAAGCCCCTAAGCCCCTGAACCCCTAAACTCCTAAACCCCTACGCCCCTAAGCCCCTGAACCCTTTTCGTTGGCTTTTCTGGCAATTATGCTTCCTTGCCCTGAAAGCCCCAGAGCTCCTCAACACCATCACAAAAAGCCCTGTCTGGTTCTTAGTGCGGAATGGGGTTCCTTTAATTAAGGGTTCCTGTAAGGGTTGCTATAAGGGCTACTACAAGGGTAATGCTATAGGCGTTTAGGGTTCTTAGTAGGCTGTCTGGTTCTTAGTAAGGAATGGGGGAATGGGTTATGGGGACTACTATAAGGGACCTTTAAGGGACTATCATCGGGATCCATTCCCCCATTCCCTGCTAAGAACCATAAGAACCCTAAACCCCTATAGTTAGCCCTTATAGTAGCCCTTATAGTAAGCCTTAAAGGAACCCTTAAAGGAACCTTAAAGGAACCCTTAAAGGAACCCTTAAAGGAATCCCCAATCCCTACTAAGAACCAGACAGAAGCCCTGAAGCTCCCACTGCTGCAGGGCAGTGCCCGAGACCGCACCGGCTTCAAGATCTGCCTGCAGGAGGTCAGGGTTTTAGGGTTCCTTTAAAGGGATCTATAGGGGCTCAGGGCTCCTTTAAAGGGGATCCATAAGGTTTAGGGGTTTGGGGTTTTAGGGTGCAGGGTTTAGGGTTTTAGGGTTCAGGGGTTTAGGGTTCAAGCGTTTTGGGTTTAGGGTTTAGGGTTCTCAGGTTTTAGGGGTTTAGGGTTTAGGTGGGGTTTAGGGTTGAGGATGTGGCAGGTGGATGGAATTGAGGGTTCGGGATGTGGGGTCGTTACCGCGACTATCGTGTTTCAACATGGATGTCTTGTTTCTGTTTGGGATGCTGGGTTTGGGGCATGGGGTTCAGGTTCTAGTGGTCGCTTGCAGGGGCAAGCAACACATCTTGTCTCAGCTCCAACGTCAAAGCCAGCCCTTGCAAAAATTGGTCTTCGTCGAGGTTGCTGGCTTACAGTCGTGGGGCATGAAAGTATTAGTAGCATTTGGGGCTGGAGGTTTGGAGTCGACGGCTTCGTGTGCGCCAGGTCACCGAGACCTCCTGGAGGTGGCGCATCTTGGAGGGGCTCCTCCTTTGCATTGCATAATATAGGGCCCTTAATACTTACCAAGACTATTTTGGGGGTTTCTTAGTATTTTTTAAGTATCATGGGCCCCAAAACCCTATTCTAGTTATTATGGCCCCTATATCAGAGTCCCCAGCGATGGCGAGTGTGCATCGATGCTTCGGGCTTTTGGTTCATTGAAAGCGTTCAACTTCTGAAGCCCCACTCCTCTCATGTTCCTTGATTCCAGAGTTGTTTGGCAGTAGAGCCCTAAGCCCTCAACCCTAAAGCCTAAAAGTCCGAAGGCCCCTAAACCCCAAGCCCCCAACCCCCCAAGGCTTCAGGCCTAAACCCTAAGGCCCCTAAACGGTAAACCCCGAACCCCCTAAGCCCTTAAGGCCTAAACCCTAAAGCCGAAACCCGATGACCTGACGTAGCACTGAGGACTTGCGTTCAAAACTCGGAGCCCGGGTGGGATGCTTGCTCAGGATGTAACAGGGATGTCGAGGTTTGGTAGATTTGGAGTTTAGAGGTTCAGGGGTCTAGGGGTCCATGGGTACAGGGGTCTAGGGCTCTACCCAAAACCAGAAAATCTTCCACAGTTTTAGGGGTTTAGGTTTTTTTTGCGGTTTTGCAGAGCTGAGGCTTCAAGCAGCCTAGGGGTAGAGTTGAGGGCTTAGGCTGTCAGGGTTTTTGCAGGGGGTTCAAGGTTAGGGTTTACAGGGTTGAGGGTTTAGGGGTGTAGGGTTTCGGAGTGGAGGCCTCGCTCCCTGCTCCAAGCTAAGGAGCACTGCATCTCTAGCCACGGGCCCCGGCAGAACGCCTACCACGCTGGGGACTCTTGCATCATTGAAGTTTCCCCTGCAAACCATCCGTTCATGAACCTTCACACGGCCTACTTCTGGACGGATCCCGGCGACAAGGCTTGTGCCACAAAGCTCCATCTCGACTAGGTTTCCACAGCAGGAACCAGCTACTTAAAGGCTCATGGGACTTAGTAGCTAGGGTTATAAACAGAGAACTATACTTATAAGTACTTATAACCCCACTTAGGGGACTTATAACCTTACTTATCAAGTCCCATGATCCTTTCAGTTTATTAATCACAGCTTCCATCCGAGCCTCTGTCCGTCCAGCCATACCCACTTTGGCTCTTCATTGTTACAAGAGGCCCAAAACCCTTAACCAGAAACTCCTAACACTTAAACCCTCAGCCTTAAACCCTGAACCCCAAACCCCCAAAACAAAAAACAACCTAACACCTAAACCTTAGAAGTGGGTATTATAGGAATATAATAGGGCCCTAAGGATATAATCCTTATAGCCACTATTACAGGGTGGGGGCCCCTTCTAACCTACACCCTTAAACCCTAAACCCTAAACGCCTTAAGCCATCTTTCTAGTGTAAGCCTGCAGGAGTCAAAGGAGCGGTGCACTACACTTAAAAATAAATGCCCTAAGCCCAAAACCGTCGCCTCAGGTGGTCGTGAATGGCCAGGAGTTTAGCGGCGATGTGACCCCGCAGGGCGTGCATCTCCGACCGCGGGGTCCCATTTTGTGGAAGGCGGCAGCTTGGCTTGGTCTAGGGGTTCCTTTAAAGGGATCTGTAGGGGTTTAGGGTTCCTTTAAAGGGATCTATAGTAGGTTTAGCGGATTTAAGGTTTAGGGTTTTAAGGTTTAGGGTTTTGGGATTTAGTGTTTTAGAGTTTTAGGCTTTCGGGACTAGGGTTTCGGGGGTTTAGGGTTCGGGGTTTAGGGATTTAGGGGTTCAGGATTTAGGGGGTGAATATGCTGAAGATCCCGGCGAAGATGCGTTTCTTCTCAGCGTCTTTTCGCATGCCAAGGACCCCAATTCTCAAGTCAGTGCTCGGGGTTGGACTCTGTGTATGGTTTCGGTCCCGCCCTCAGAGACGACTGCTGCAAACTTAAGCCCCAAACCCTATACCTTCAACCCTTAACCGCCTAAAGCCAAAGCCCGAAGTCACCTCAGCCCCCCAAAAAAAACCCGAAGTTTGTGAGCCCTTGGGGTTATAAGTAGATATAACTATAGCTACCTTACTTGTAACCCTACTTATTAGGGTGATCTTCTCTTTGCCCGACACCCGAATCGCCGGAAGGCGCCGTGGACCGTGACAGCCGGGCTGGGGGCTCGGAAGTCAGTCTTTGAGGGGCTCCCCAGAGCCTCCAAAACCCCTTAATTAAGGAATATACCTTAAATTATAGTAGGATCCCCAATATGATTTAAGGTATATTCCTTAATTAAGGGGTTTTGGAGGCTCTGGGTCTACTGTTGATGATATAAATCCTGCATTACCTTGAGGAACCTAAACTATGGGAAGTAGGGTATAGTCTTTATTATGGGTAATAGGGTAATGCAGGATTTATATCATCAACCATACCGGTTCTGAGAGAGCCACAAAGTTTGGTCTCAGGAGATGTTTTATCGATGATGAGGGCTGCATCACCACACCATCCTGGCCATCCAACTACCCGCTGGAAACTTGCAGTTGCGAGTATGACAGTGACGAGTCAAGCATTGAAGGCTACGTCTCGGATCCGTACTATCGATGCTCGGATGTTGCATCATGCTACCCTGGTTGCGATGTCGAGGTCCGGAATTTTTGACAAAGCTACGGGGTTTTGGGGAGTCTGTGAAGTAGCACGGCACGACCCAGACCGAGCGCTTCCGCAAAGAAGGGAGTAGTAGTTACCCTCAAAGGGGCGCAGATTCCCACTCAAGGGAGTCGTGCCTTCCTGTTCCAAAGTACACCCCCAACAACCCTAAACCCTAAACCCTAAACCCTAAACCCCTAAACCCTAAACCCTAAACCCCTAAACCCTAAACCCTAAACCCTAAACCCTAAACCCCTAAACCCTAAACCCTAAACCCCTAAACCCTAAACCCTAAACCCTAAACCCTAAACCCTAAACCCCTAAACCCTAAACCCTAAACTGGAGCGAGCTGCGGGCGCTGCGATAGCAGCAGCGAGCGTGCCGAAGCGTCAGTGAGGCTGGCTCCGGAGCTGGCGCGACAGGCGCAGCGGAGGAGCCCCAGCACCGGCTCAGGTGCTGGCGCATTGCGACAGGCATGCTAGCCAATCAGAACAATATGACCCTAAACCTCCAACCTCGGAGCGCCCCATCCCTCTACTTGGAGCTGGGCCCTGCCCTGGCCTTGGCCCGGCCCTGACCCCACCCTGCCTGGCCCTGGCCCTGGCCAGCGCTGGCCAGCTGTCTGGGCCTGGTTCTGGCCCTCTCCCCCTGCCCTGCCCTGCCCTGCCCTGCCCTGCCTTGCCCTGCCCTCGGTTTTGGGCCCTCACGAGACCGAGCCACAAACCTTGATGTTGGCCAGACCTTGGTTTTGGGCCCGCGCCAGACCGAGCCACAAACCTTGATTATGGGCCCCCGCCAGACCAAGCCACAAACCTTGATTTTGGGCCCCCGCCAGACCAAGCCACAAACCTTGATTTTGGGCCCCGTACCAGACCAAGCCACAAACACCAAGCCACAAACCTTGGAGAAAAACCCTAAACCCGACAAAGGTCATAGACTGGGTGGGCGGGTAGGGCGAGAGCGTTGAACCTAGGCGCACACCACAACACACGTCTCGCGTGGTGGTGTGCGCGGAGCATCGACACACCCTAAACCCTAAACCCCCAGGTGGCTTGGGACAGCAACTGGACGATCTCGCTCAAGGACGATGATGCCTCGGAGGCTCAAAGAGCCCGAGAGGCTTCTGAAGATGCGATCCTGGGTTCTCCTTTGGGATCTTGGGTTTAGGGTTTAGGGTTTAGGGTGACTATTTTGTAGAGAACCATAATAATAAATAGTTTTCGAAGGGTTTAAAGGACAACTCAGGATCGACTTCCAAAAGTTCCCGGGGTGGAGTCTCTATCAGCAGGACACTTTGAAGATCAATGGCCGAGACTTGGGTCTTGCTACGGTGTTTAAGTCAAGTTAAAGTTGCCATAAGAAGGAAGCCATAGTCTTTGCGGTAGATCCGTACTGTGGTAAGTTACATGAAGCTCCTTAACAAGAGCCAAGGATACTTCAGCTCCCGATTTCGGCAGCCGGTTGGAGTCGTTCCGGAAGGAACCATCTCCTGGCAACCGGACACTCGGAAGAGCTAAACCCACATAGAAGGTTAAGAAGCCTTGCAAGAATAACCCCTGGTGGTTGTGAAAGGTAATTATTGACGATGGCGTCGGTGGCAGGAGGAGGAGGAGGAGGAGGAGGATGAGGAGGAGGAGGAGGGGGAGGAGCAGCAGTAGCAGTCGGAGTAGGTTTAGCAGTAGGAGCAGGAAGAGGCGTAGAGGTAGGAGTGAGAGGTATCGAGACCAAAGCCGAAGGCTCGTGCCGTTTCATCAGTGCATGCGCAACCATAATTGTTCCATTTGGTTGTTCATATTTAGAATCCTATGAGGTAATCCCAAAAAGGGACTACTATGGAGCCTATGCAAGAGCTGTTGCAATCCAGTCGAGTTTGGCTAGTTACCGAGTTTCGATGTAATCAAACGCCAGCAGGATTGGGGGAGTATGTGTTGAAGGTTGTCAGTCTTCTGAGAGAACAGCAATACCCTCGCAACTCAAAGGTACCACGATCCCTGCATTCTATACCCTGTATACACCCTAAACCAAAAGGATGGATTAGAATTCTCTGGGGGCCCCCAACCCTAAACCCTACACCCTAAACCAACCGGATGGGTTAGAATTCTCCGTGGGCCGAGGACCTCATCCAGCCAAGCCACAACACCTTTGATGCCGACCTCGTCGACAAGTGGCCTCATCGAGGATTTCGGCTCTGCTTGAAGGAGGCGTCATGACCTGTGATAGTGGTACATACATAGTTGATACATGTATGTATATATCATATATATCTATACATCACAATATAACGTAATGCTATGCAACAAGATATAGCATATTGTAACATAATATAAAAGCTTAACATAACAGTATACAATATACTATAAATAGAATATGGTATAATACAATATCATATACGCATACGATGTCTTTTGAGGGGACGTGGTGCACCATCACAGACATGATCTGGGCGTAGAGTCGAGGGTCTAGAAATTGCTGGCGTTGTTGTCTTGAGGTTCGTGAGCTTAGAGATCAGCTGTTGGTGTGATCGTCTGTCTGGTGTGGTCGCGTCTACGTTCAGTTGTCGGCGATGGTGGTAGTGGGTGGTGGTGGTGTTGGATTCTAGGGTTTAGGGTTTAGGGTGGCTGTGGCTTTCTTCTGACGATCGTCATTTGGCTCCTCGCCAGAATGGCTCAGATCAGCTGGGATTCTGTTAAGGAGTTTGTTTGAAGTTACCAAAATACTGATCTACAGTACATAATATGGATTCTTTGTTATGGTAACCTAAATTAAGTTCCTTAACAGAACCCAGTCAGTTGTGGAGCTTCCCCGCATGTTGCCACCTCTTCCTTTGACAGAACCTGGAGCTCGGCAACACCACGGAGGCCAAGCTGCGCTGAGTGAGTCCTAACATGATCCGAACTCCCTAGAAAGACCAAAGCCCTAAACCCTAAGTTCCCGGGGCCCCTTCACCCCAAAACCCTAAACCCCAAACGCTATTTCCTACATGAAGCTGAGCGCGGGCCTTTTGTTCCTTTTTCGGAACTTCAGATGCCGCAAAGGGGAAGGGAAGCAGGGTTCGAAGCAGAAAGACATGTCCAAGTCTTTTGAGGAAGGGCCCAAGGGCTCTCTTCTCAAGGAGTTTCGGGTTCAGGGCTTCTAGGCGTTTAGGGTTTAGGGTTTAGGGTTTGGGTTCGGCTGCAGAGTTTACGGTTTCGGGTTTTTGGAGTTTAGGGTTAGAGGGAACCCCCCAAAAGGGCCCCAATCCCATCTCTGGAGGTCGAGGTCTTCGGCTGGACAGTGCTCCGCGGGCCGGGAGCTTGGTGAGCTCAGGCTTGTGCCGAAGACCCGAGCGGAAGCTGCGCGCGACTGAGGAATTGCAAGATGGATCGGAATGGCTGCATACATACAGTGGGATACAGAAGGACCAAATATCCAGAGAACGACTTCTGCGACATCAAGGTGCGCGAGAACAACTACCTGCCAATCTACCCTAAATCCTAAACCTCAAGGTGCGTGAGAACAACTACCTGCCAATCTACGAGAAAGTCCGCATCTCAGGCTCAGAATCCCTCGGCTCCGATCCTCCCCGCATTTTTGGCATTTGCTGGTTCGTGCAAGAGTCTGAAACCCTATACCCTAAACCCTAAACCCCTAAACCCTCAAACTTAATTAGACCCTAAACCCTAAACCCTAAACCCCTAAACCCTAAAACCTAGACCCTATAACCTAAACCCTAAACCCCAGACCCTATACCCTAAACCCTAAACCCCTAAACCCTCAAACTTACTCCCTAAACTCAAAACGCTGAGCCTCTCAGCTCGGTCCCCCACACGCTTCCCGCGACTGCGACTAAACTGCTGGGTTTTCAGGGGTTTGGAGGTCTTGGGGTTTCGGAGGTCTTGGGGTTTCGGAGGTCTTGGGGTTTGGGGGTTTGGGGGTTTGGGGGTTTAGGGGTTTGGGGGTTTAGGGGTTGAGGGTTTTCGGGTTTAGGGATGACGACAGGGGTTTGTGTCATGTGTTGGTGTATATTATACGAGGGTCCATACACGAGCCGTGATGGCTAAGCCCTTCGAAGTTCTATATGTATGCAGCCCCGTCGAGATGTGCAGTGTTCGAACTGGTCATCGTTACGCTGGAGCCTTCAAGCATAGTAAGGGTGCACCTTGTGCTTGAGTAAAGTTTGACCCTCGTGCGTTGCCATGACCCAGCCCTAGTTCCGTCGCCCCAACGACCCACGGATCAAGAAGTTCGCAAGCCCGAACGTCTGGCTTGGATAGAAGCAACAAGCGCAGTTCCTGGTATGACAGTAGCCCCCCAAACTCTAAAGCCTACCAGCAGACGTAGCAGGCTACTTCGTTTGCCCACGGACGGCCGCAAGAATTTGCTCTCAACATGAGACGGGCTTCCCACGCACACTAATTAACCTCAACAATGATTATCATGGGCCCTTAAAGACAGTTGAACAAGGATTATCTTGTGAATTTTGTGCAGCAAGTATTTGTGGCGGAGATGTATGTTTCTGTGTTTCTTCCCTAAACCCTAAACCCTAAACCCATGTATGTTTCTGTGTTTCTTCGAGGTCTTCCGCACGAAGGCACAGCATGGCATCTTGACCGTCAACGGTCTTCGCTACTCCGGTTGGTCTGGCCCCGATGGTGTCGTGCCTCGGAGCTCGTGTTGTGTGTTGCACACCCAGAGAGCCCAATACTCCTAAATTAAGGAATATAGCTTGAATCATAATATGAATCCCCTTATGATTTAAGGTATATTCCTTAATTAAGGGGTATTGGGCTCTCTGGGCAGTGCATCGCGACATGTTGATGGTAGCCAGATGCAGTCAAGGATATGGGAGTTTCCGAAATTAGGGGACCCTAATCTAGTACCCTAAATAGTAGGATCCTTCTTAGAAGGACCCCGACATAAGGTACCCCTAATATTCAGAAACTCTAAAACCCTAAACCCTAAACCCTTTATAGAACTCTTATAGATCCCAGGAGCCCTTTAAAGGATCCCTTTGTATTCGGAGGTACCGCAAGGCACCATCCAGTGGAGATCAGACGCACCTCGGCTCGGAGAGAGGGTTGAACTCTTGTTTAGGGTTTAGGGTTTAGGGTTTAGGGTTTGGGGTTTAGGGTTTAGGGTCCCCAACCCCCTAAACCCATAAACTGAATAACAAGGTACTTAATAAAAAAGCCCAACACAATCCCCTAAACCCCAAACGCCTAAACCCCTAAAGCCTAAACCCCAAACCCCCAAACCCTTAAACCCTAAACCCTAAACCTCCAAACCCCTGAATCCCAGCATGTATTTGCAGGCAGCGAATGACTTTGGGTGGGAACTGTGCCTTCAGGCTGCCTGGCCGGAAATATTTTGCTGCGCAGGTTCGCACTTCAGCGTTTGGGGTATACGGGTACGATTGTGGACATGTCTATATGTATACCTACATAGGTACATATCTGTACATCTGTATCTATATATATATATATATATGTTGTTCATATCTGACAGGTCAACTCCGCATCCTTGTTGCTGCAAGTGCAAAGACGATCTTTCCCCGCATCTTCGCGGGAACTGAGGTGACGACCAGCACCACCACGCAGGCCACATGGGGTCGACTCAGATAAAGTGGCTCAGTGAAGTTGCAGGAAGTTGACGAAGGGTTTAACAACTTCGGGTTTCGGGCGGCTTGTGAGGGTCTGCAAATATCCAGAATGTAGAAAAAGGATCACCGTTTTTTGAGCCTTGTATGGCGGGTGCCGATGTAAAGAGAAGGGCGACTCCTCTTACACAGAGCAAATGCTCATGCATGTTCATGGTGACGGTGACGTTGTTAGATCGGCGGTTTCATCCATTCCCTTCATGTTCAGAAGCCATTCATTCGCACCAAACCCGAATCCTGGACCCTGAACCCTAAACCCTGGTTCTACCAAATTGGTATTAAGAATGAAAAGCATGCAGTTCCCAAAAGAGCCGATCCCCAAAGAACGTTTCAATCTCGAGAACCTTTGCCCTAAAGCGTTAAACCCCAAACCCTAAACCTTTCCGGCAGGTAAAATCCTGGACGGTCAGGACTGGGCTACTCTGCTGCTTCTGCTTAGAGGATGATGCGACTTAGCAACTAGGGTTTAGGTTTAGGGTTTACAAACAAGAAAGTTGTACACACAATTGCTTCTCCTCCAAGTAAGTAAGTCGAGTACGTCGATGTAGGGCTTCGGGCAAAGCTTGGGGGTTTGGAGTTCAGGCGCGGGCTCATGTCGTAAGGGTTGAGGGCTTGAAGGGTTTAGGGTCAACGGAGGGCGTCATTACCACAGTATAATAGCAACAGTCATAAGAATAATAATAGTAATAACAATAATAAAGACAGAGTAAGAGTAACGGAGCTGAGGCACTGCCGTGTTGATGCGGAGAACTGTCTGGTCAGCCCCGGCTATCCATCCACATATCTTGGCGGCGAGTCGTGTACCATCGAGGTTCATCCAGAACTCACAACGGAAAAGCCCGTCATATCCGTCACGGACTTCTTTGTGAACGATGGCTATGATCACAAAATTGCTGGCTTCCTTCCCAAGTACGATCAGTTGGTGGTCAATGACGTCGTGCCGCTGGGTTTTCACTTTCGAGATTCTTAAAGCCAGAGGACAAAGCTGTGCGAGTTGTCGTCAGAGACCCTAAACCCTAAACCCTAACCCCGAAGCCCTAAAACCCTAAACCCCAAATCCCCTAAACCCCAGCCATCTAGTCATGTGGACTAGCCAGGCGAGCTTTTGGTTGCGAGAGCAAGTTGTCAACGACGGAGGGCAGAACTAGCGATAAGCAGAAAGAAGCCCTAAACCGTGAAACGCGAATATCTCTTGTTGGGTTCGCGACGGAGAGCTCGTATTTGGTTCTTTTGGACGACACGTCAGTTTTCCCGTGTAAAGTGGATATAAATCGCGACATTGATGAGCAACTGTGCGCCAAGTTGCTTTTTGCTTGCTTGTCGTTGCTAATGATTGCTGCTAATGGCGATCGGCAGGCCTGGAAGCTCCGACTGTAACTTTGGGTGTGTCGCCCACGTCCTTATTCTGCATGTCGTAGGCTCCCTAAACCCTAAACCCGAAACCGGCCGTGTTCTGGCCAGTTGCTCGGACCAAGCCACATCCGGACAGCCGAACCCTGCCAAGGTACAAAGGGAAAAGGATCTATGATGGTCCGGAGGGTGTCGCACCATCTGGTCTGATCTACTTCCTGAGCGATTCCCGGCCGAGGGCGTTTGGGGCCCTTTGATATCCTAAGCCTAAACCCCAAACCCCGAACCCGAAGCCCCCGAAGCCACCGAGACCCTGGACCACAGCTCAAGAGAAGAGTTGCCCAGCTTGGTGGTACTGTTGATGGTGTAAATCCTGCATGACCTTAAGGACCCTAAATTATGGGAATTATGGTATATTCCTTATTATGGGTAATGTAGGGTTTATATTATCAACCGTTTGGCTGAGGACAAGAAGTCCGCGGGCTACTTCAGACTCTGCATGCGCAAGGCAGGCCAAGCACAGGAAAGACGCATGCCCCAAACCCATCCTGAAACCAATATAGACCCTAATTCCCAAGGCTTAAATCACCCAATCAAGCCATAGACCTCAAGCCTTTAAATCCCAAACCCTAAATCTGCAAGAGTAGGGTCCTTAACCAAAGACAAGTTTTTCTCCGAACTCGGTTTCGGGTCCGGGCGTTTCGGTGTTTAGGGGTTTGGGGTTTTGGAGGAGGTTTCGGGATGTTGAGGCTTTGGGGAGGAGCTGTGTTCTGTCTCTCTCTCTCTCTGTCTCTCTCTCTCTCTGCCCTAAACCCAAAACCCAAAACTCTAAACCCTAAACCCAAAACCCTAAACCCTAAACCCAAAGCCCAAAGCCCAAATCCCTAAACCCAAAACCCTAAACTCTAAACCCTAAACCTTAAACCCAAAGCCCAAAGCCCAAAACCCAAAACCCTAAACCCTAAACCCTAAACCCAAAGCCCAAAACCCTAAACCCTAAGCCCTAAACCCTAAGCCCTAAACCCTAAACCCTCAAGAAAGTGATAAATAGAAAGTGCTTGTCCTTGTTTGTAACCACCGCTAAGGCCCAGCATTTCGGTTAAAACTGGCGTTAGCTTCTTGATAATCCAATTTCGCACAACCACAACCTCAACCATTAACTCAGCCCAGCCAACTCAAAACAGCCACCCGATCAAAAACGGAACAAGCTTCTTGATAAACCAATTTCGCACAACCACGACCTCAACTTCTAACTCAGCCCAGCCAGCCAAGCCAACCCGGTCCAGCCCAGCCCAGCCCAGCCGGCCCAACACACCGATTAAAAATTGAGTAAGCTTCTTGATAAACCAATTTCTCCACAAACTTGTAACCACCATTACGGCCCAACACGCCGCTTAAAATTGAACAAGCTTCTTGATAAACCAATTTCTCCATAACCTCCAACCCAGGCCCACCTTCCCAGACCCCAAATCCAGCCCCTCCCTCCCCGCCCCCCGCCCTCCTATCCCAGCCCCAGCCCCAGCCCCAGCCCCCGCCCCAGCCCTAGGAGGTCAAAACGTCTCGCTCCAAAGTTTCGTTCAAAACGTTTCGCAGCCCCCCAAGAAATTTGAAAACATGGTTCGCAAAAAAAAACTGTCGGTCAAAAAGTTTCGGTCAAAACGTTTCGCTCAAAACGTTTCAGTCAAAACGTTTTTGGGACCCAAACCCTTAACAATTTCTATAAACCCCAAACCCATCTCAAAGCCGTGTAGGCCCAAGACCCCCGAGCCGGCGTTTGCCCAGCTCCAAGTAAGCTACGGAACTGAGACAAACCCTAAACCCTAAAAAGAATTAAAAAACTAAATACAATAAAAAAACAAAAAGAAACTATAGTCTCCGTAGGAATTATTGTTTTCAAACCCTAAATTATAGTTTCCTTAAGATTTTTCCTTTTGTTCATATAAGTCCCAAGAGAAGATTAAAAAAACTACTAGTTTTTATTGTGGTTCTAAAGGGGGTATAGCGAAGCGAAACCATCCTTGGCCACGAGTGTGCAAGACAAGGTAACATAGCATAATATGGCATGCATCAGTTTCAAGAGTGATATAGTGCCGTAGAATAAGTATATGCTTTCTCACAAGATGTTATAACCTAGGATCTGATACATGCTCAAAAGGTGCCCAACTCACAGTGAACCCTCGACCCACAGCCATGTCCGCCAGGCAAATCCACAGCCGTGGTTCATGGATGAGCCGTGTGGCGCTGAGTTTGGGGCCTTCGATGCCAGGGTTTGGGCTCCAGGGGCAACGCATTTTTGGCTTAGGGACAAAGGCCTAGGCCAATCCCACCAATCATCCGGAAACCCAAGCCCACCGCATTTCCAGACAATGGAACCCAGCCCCGCCACCACTTCGGGCCTTCAGCAGTCTGCAGACTTCTAGAAGGGCGGCTGGCAGTCATGCTCGTCTCAACGTGGACTTCGCAATTGCTCAGACGAAGGGACACTCACGACAGAGCATCCTAAACCCAAAACCCAAAACCCTAAAATGGGTCGTGGGGCGCATGATCGGAAGCAGCAGCCTCAAGCAGTTTTGGAAGCCTTTGCCAAGCCACAGAACCAAACGCAGACGTCTGCCACCAAATGCCAAAACCCTAAAGGCATGTCGGTGAATGCTCTGCTCTGCTCGAAGCACATGCTACCTTCACTGGGTCCGCGACAACTCAAAAGCGCGTTGGGACCTCGCTTCCTGTCTGAGGTGCGACCCGAGGAATGAAGCATTCTGCCCATGCATCTTGGGTCTTCAGTGCTATAAGGCTAAACCCTACGGCCTTCGCCTCTTAATCACCCGCACTTTCTCAGGAAGAAGTTCTCTTCTGGATCGTACCATAGTTTTTTGCGATGTTCCGATGACGGTCATCAGCTGCTGGGAGGTAGGGTATTAGAGTATTGCCAGGGTATTTTGGGGTACTCGGGTTTAGGGTTTTGGTATTGGGGTTTAAGGTTTAGGGCCCGAGGGTCCCTAAACCCTGAACCCTTTAGGGATTAAGGTTTGGCTTTCGAGCCCAAACTCGGAACGAATCGATGTCAGATGCACGACGAACAGGAATGCTTCCTTTGGGGCTTCCTTTTTGGGTTCCTTTAAAGCTTCCCTCAGGATTCCTTTAAGGGATTCTAAAGGCTTCCTTTCAAGGCTTCCTTCTATGCTTTTGAGGGTTCTTTTCAGGGCTCTAACAAGGGTTCCTTCTGTTGATGGACAAGGATCTATAAGGGGTACCTTTAAGGGGCTCCTGTAAGGGATCTAAAGGGTTTAGGGTTTAGGGTTGATGATATAAATCCTGCATGACCCTAAGGGCTCTAAACTATGAGAACTATGGTATATTCCTTGTAAAGGGTAATGCAGGATTTTGTCCATCAACAGTTCGACCATGGCCCAGTGAACTCTGGAAGCCATGGGCCCACATGTAAGCAATGTAAGGCCCCGAAGATCTGAGCTTCAGGATTTCAGAAAGATGGACAGTCTGTTTTGGGATTTCGGGTTTAGAGTGTAGGGTTTAGGGATCGACAGGGGAAGGAATGAGCTCTAATGCCTTTTTTGAATAGATGCCTGCGTACCTTGCGCTAGCAGAGCCTCGTGTTTCCTATCGCAATGACTTTGTAGAAGCGAGAGCTTGGGAGGTTTTGGGGGCTCGAAAAGGCTGGAGGGCCCTGTCGGGGTCTGCACCAGAGTGGTCTTGCATGTTCTCCACACTGCATAACAGAATATAGTAGGCTAGATGCCACTATGCTGTACTATACGATACACGACTAGACTAGACCAGACTGGACTAGTCTAGACTGGACAAGACTACACGATAGACGAATATAATGTAACAGGTCAAAACATAATAGTTTAGAACAAGTTCACTGGGGGCAAATCCAAGGCACCTTGCAGAACACTTCTGATGGCTGCATCGTTCCAAACCGCGATCAGGCACATCAGGGATCCTGCTTCTGGGTTGCTTTTGAGGAACTTAATGACTTAATCTAAGTTACCATAAAGGGGACATATATAGTAAATACTGGGCTTTCCTGATTATAGCAGCTTAGTTTAAGTTCCTTAAACCGCAACCCAGGCTTCCTCCGGGTCGACAGGACCAACACTCGCCCGATTGTGGCACATATCTGGAACAACGAGGTGGGAGTTGCCGAAAATAGGGGTACCTTCTTCTGGGGGCGTGATAATAAGGATCCTGCTATTTAGGGTACTATATTAGGGTCCCCTATCTTCGGAAACTCCCAGGTCACGACCACTACGACCACAACAACCGCGCTGGAGTGGGACTGGTTGCAAATTGCAGTCCAAATTGTCGTCGCCGCTGTTTGGTACAAGTTTGGGCCGACAATTCCGGAGGAATTGGGGGTTTGGATGGTGGAGTCCGCCGGCCTTGCAGAAGAGGCACCTTGCCCCCCCACAGCCAAACCCTAAACCCCTGAACTAAACCCTCAACCCTAAACCCCTATAAACCCTAAACCCTAAACCCTTATAAACCCTAAACCCCAAACCCTTATAAACCCTCAACCCTAAACCCCTATAAACCCTAAACCCTAAACCTTCATAAACCCTAAACCCTAAACCGGAAGAGGCGCATTGGGTTGGTTTCGGCGGCTTCGAACCCGAGCCACCTCCACCCCAGCCGCCGGTCCCGGAAAAGTATCCATTTGGCTTTATGTGGGAGGTCGATGGCGACACATGGCTATGGAAGAGGGCACATTTTTTTTGATGCGGTTTAGCGGTTAGGGCTGTGCGGTTTAGTTGTTTTGGGTTTTGAGGGTTTAGGGTCTGCAGTGGTAGGAGTTCGCCAGCAGTTGTGCTTTCAAGGACAGCTTCCCGTACACCCACTCTCCCAATGGCTGGGTGCCAACGAAGGAACTCATTTACAACACAGCTTCTAGGCTTTGCTGAGTTGCTGTTAAGGAAGTTTCATTTAAGTTAACCATAATGAGGATACATAGCAACTTAAACCCTAAACCCTAAACCCTTATAAACCCTAAACCCTTATAAACCCTTATAAACCCTTAGAAACCCTTGTAAACCCTTGTAAACCCTAAACCCTTTTAAGTTCCTTGAACCGCAACCCGGTTCATTCTGTGGCGTTCCTGTTGCGATCGGCGGCTCGTCTGGACTTGTGGTTGTTCTTATCCATTTCAGCCCCAAGACACACGGTTTAGGGTTTAGAGTTTAGGGTTTAGGGCTTTAGGGTTTAGGGTTTAGGGTTTAGAGTTTAGGGTTTAGGGTTTAGGGTTTAGGGCTCTTGACAGTCTCAACACTAGCCTAAACCCTAAACCACTAAACCCAAACCTTGAACCCTAAATCCACTAAACCCTAAGCACTCCATTTCCCGCACAGCCCCCTTTCTGGGTCAAATCCCAGGCGAACTTCGAGTGGTATCACGACTGGAAGCTTTGTCTGGGTGAGGCAGCGAAGAAGGATTCCATAATTAGAATAGGGTCTGAGTGTAAATTATGCTATAGGTAGAGTAAGGAACCCTAGGCAACCGTATTCCAATGATTGCGTTGCTGCTACGGAATCTAATTTAAAGCTACCATAATGGAGACATGTGGTAAATAATGGGGCTTCCTTATTCTGGCAACTTAATTTATGTTCCCCAACAGCAACCCAGATTGTAAAGGGGCCTGTGCTGAGGTAGGGCATGCGTCTAGTGTTCAGCGTTCAGAGGTCACTGTTCGAGGCGATCCCTAAACCATAAACCCTAAAGGATCTTGTTTCCACGGATTTCCCAGTCAGAGGCTCCAGCGCTAAGCCCTAAGGGTTTAGGGTTTAGGGTTCCCTAAACCTCACTCGTCTGTTAATGATTTTCATAGCTTGGACTGAGGTTCTAGGGTTTGGGGGCTTAGGGTGTCTGGGTATTTGCAACAGAAATCTCTAGGGACTATACTATTATTTCTATGTGACGGAAGAGTGCCGACACCCTGGCATCCTAAAGTGTCAAAATCCTGACAGCTGGAGAGTCGTCGTTCCTAAACGCTCACAAGAGAGAGGCTTTCGAAAGAGCAATGAAAGACACTACTCCTGATTCCTGTTGATGATATAAATCCTGCATTACCCATAATAAGGAATATACCATAATTCCCATAGTTTAGGGTCCTTAAGGTAATGCAGGATTTATATCATCAACCGTTCTTAACTCCTGAATGACAAGCTGTTTGATGAAGGCTGAAGAGCCAACCACTACCACAACGACGGTCTTCCCGAAGGCTGTCAGAGGGCTAAGGTTAGGGTGTAGGATTTGCAGGGTTTAGCGTTTCAGGGTTTCGGCTAAGGGGCTGAGGTCCTCGCTTGGCCTCGTTCGCTTTTCGTGCATGTGCTTGCATGTTGCGCGGGTTTAGGGTTTAGGGTTGATAAAAACTGAACCCTTAACGGTGTGCTTGGCGCAACAGCAGCGGTCAAGTGGTCATCGTTCGTGCCAATGAACCCTGTAGCCATACTATAGGGGCCGACAAATGTAGAATACCGTTTTGGGGTCCTTAATATACTTCATCAGTCGTGTTCGACCCCCGAGCCCAATCAGAATACTAGCTCCCTTGTTATAAATGTAGTATACCCCTATAGCCCTGTTCTAATTGTTAAGGCGCCTACATTACACACGGTTCGGTCTCGCGGGTATCGTCGGCTTCTGTTGAAAAATATTGAACCCACCCTATTCGAACTATTCTATATGGGCTCTCTCGGTCAGCCCTAAACCCTCAACCCCAAACCCCAAACCCTGAACCCAAGCCCTAAGTCCCGAACCCCAAATCCCTGCCCGCAGACAGGCAAGTGATGGCTGACTCGACCTAATTCAAAGTTGGAATCCGTTCAGTCGCCGAGTGTCTCGCATCGTGACAGTCCGCATGACCGATTGCATAAATCCCAACTCTAAACCCTAAACCCCGCACCCCGATCCCTAAACCCCAAAGCCTGAAGCCCAAACCCTAAAGCCTGAACCCCAAAGCCTAAACCCTAAACCCCAAACCCCAGTCCGTAAACCCCAAAGCCTAAAGCCCAAACCCAAAAGCCGAAAATCTCCAAGCGACGGCCTTTTGGAGTCAAAGGAGCGGTGCACTACTTGGAGGATCATGGGATATCCTAATTATAACCTACTTATAACCCTACTTACTAAGTCCCATGAGCCTTCAAGTACGCTAAACATAAAACCCAAGCGGAAAGGTGACTACTCACGGCTGGCAGATCACACGAGGGCGCGAGACCCAGAGCTCCAGTTCACAGAGCTGCAGTCGCAGGTTTGGGATGTTGGGTTCGGGGGTTTAGGGTTTAGGGGTTAGGGGTTTAGGGGTTGAGGGGTTTAGGGGTTTAGGGGTTTAGGGTTTAGGGGTTTAGGGGTTTAGGGTTTAGGGGTCAGGGGTTTAGGGTTCAGGGTTTATGGTGTAGGGTTCAGGGTTTGGGGTTCAGGGTTGGGGGGTGTAGGGTTTTGGGGTTCGCGATTTGGGGGTGGATTAATTCAATTACGGACGAGCCCGCACATGCGGATTTGTTGCGGTTGTGGTGATGGTGCATGGGTGGGGTGGTTGGGGTGTGGGAGTGTGGTGTTGCGATGTGGTGTTGATTCTGATTGTGACTGCGACTGTCATCCACCTCCAAATCGCTTGTAAGTGTATCACAAGTTTCATGTTCATCCTTCTTGTCATCGTTCACTTGGGCTGAGGAACTGCCAGATGTGCAGCAACGGCTGTATCACTAGCCCCGGGCTGACTGGGGCTTGTCACGAGACCTTTTCTGTTCACGGTTCGCATTATTATCCTCTCGAAGAAGATTGCGAGATTCGTGTGGATGCAAACAATCAAAAAATGCTTCACGTGGACTTCTGGCAGCTCGGGCACGATGCTATCTTCTCCTTCAACGGAATCGACTACAACAGCGGGGCAGATATGCGGCAGACCGCACACGCCATCGTGCCCCAACACGAGATCATCTGGAGAACGGCCCCTTGGCGCCATTAAGCTACCTGTGGGCGGTTGTCTTTACTTGGAAGTGGTGGTAAAGAAAAGACGTGAACTTCCGATGGGCCAGGGAAGAGGTCAATACCTTCATCTTGACTTTTTGCTACCAAGATTCCAATAACCCTTAATTCCAAACACAAGTACCGTCACAGCGAGAACAGAACACAGGCAAAAAAGTAATTGCACAACCCGAAACAACTACATAGCACCCATTAAACAACGCGAAGCAGGAAGTGCTGCAGCGTGCTCCGTGCTCAGGTGAAGGACACGTCGTCATCTTCAGAAGATTCAGTCCGCGGCGGCTGGAAGATTTGTCTCAAGGAGGCCTGGGGATTCACACTGTTGATGATATAAATCCTGCATTACCCATAACAAGGAATATACCATAATTCCCATAGTCTAGGGTCCTTAAAGGCAATGCAGGATTTATATCATCAACCGCATCATCGGGTTTTGAAGGGGTTTGGGGATATCTGGCTCGGGTTTTGGAGATGTCTTTGTAGATGGGGACTTAAGGATACATCCCGAATAGCCCTAAGCCCTAAACTCTATAGATCCTACACACTGAATGCTTCAACCCCAAAGCCAAGCTTTGGAAGCCCAAAGGCATTGAGGAGATAAGGGTTTCATCTTTGGTGTACTCCGGTCTTCAAGGCAAAACTTTCGTGAGCCCTCTAAGCCCTTTGCCCTAAACCCTAAACCCTCAACCCAAACCCCAACCCCAAAACCCCTCAAAAACCCTGTGCCTAGACCCAAAACCCCGGAACTCCCTAATCCCTAGACTCCCTAGACCTTAAAGGATCATGGGAGTTGTAACCAGGGTTATAAATAAGGTAACTATACGTAGAATTTCTTATAACCCCAATTCGGGGACTCATAACCTTACTTTCTATGTCGCTTGATCCTCCAAGTAGATCCTAAACCCTAAACACTCTAGATCCCTTCAAGGAACTGCATGGATCCGTTTTAAAGAGCCCTTTAAGAAACCCCTACCAAGTCCCCTGATCCTCCAAGTAAGCCCCACCCTAAACCCCTAAACCCTAAACCCTAAGCCCTAAACCCTAAACCCTAAACCCTTAAACCCTAAACCCCTAAACCCTAAGCCCTAAACCCTAACTCCTAAACCCTAAACCGCTAAACCCCTAAACCCTAAACCTTGTAGACTCTAGGTAAGCCCCCAGACCCAGGCCAAGCAGACCAGTTGGGCCGTGACCCAGGGGCCGGTGCCCCAGGGTTTAGGGTTTAGGGTGACGGGGCTTCTTAAAGGGATCTCTGGGGCTCCTTAAAGGGATTTTTTGGGTGCTCCTTAAAGGGATCTATGGGGTTCTAGGGGGCTCCTTAAAGGGATCTATGGGGTTTAGGGTTTAGGGTTTACTTGGAGGGGTAGGGGACTTAGTAAGTAGGTTATAAGTAGGGTTATAAGAAGGGTTATTATTGGGGCAACTCCATTTAGGGTACTTACACTCTACTTATAACCACTTACTAAGTCCCCTGGCCCTCCAAGTAGGGGTTAGGGCTTTGGCTGGGTTCTTGTTAAGGAATGAAATTTAAGCTACCGTCACAAGGAAACCATCTTACCTATTTATATAGATCCCTATAATGGTATCTTAAATTAACTAGAACCCAATGAGGGGCTTAGGATTCAGGATTTCGGGTTTAGGGGTCTCGGAGGGAGCTTGGGATTCTTCGGGTTAAGGGGTTTTTGGGTCGCAGTTTCTCTGGCGTCAGGCTTTCGGGCTCTGGGTGCCTGATGAGTTAGGACTTCGTGGATGTAGGGATGTCATGGGGATGTTTCGGGTTCTTAGGGTTGAGGGTTTATGGGCCTCATGTTGCGGGGGTGTCTGGTTCAGGGTTGCGGGCTTTAGTCATGTTCCTGCTTCTGGGTTTTGGGTTGGTGCCTGCCGAGCGTACATACATACACAGACCCTCACTCCTCAAATGACAGCAGGCTCTTGACCAAGATGGGCATGCGTGTTTAAGAGCCCGAAGCCTGCTAACATACAGAAGCCTAAATACTTGCCATAATTATTCCTTAGGGCCTTAGTGCTCCTCATTAGACATATGGCAGAAAGGAGCTCAAAACCCTACGCTTCTCATTAAGGCCCCTACAATACAGCTCTTACACCCCAGAAACTCGGTTCCCTGGACCCCGGCTTCTTCAAAGAGCTAGCAGGGCAGAGGTTAGGGGTTTTAGGGTGGGTTCTGTAGGCTTCTCGCGCGGATTATAGGCTAGGCCCTAAAGTTGACACTTTTTGGGGTTTGGGTTTCAGGATTAGGGCGTAGGGTTCGGCTTCTGCAAGGACATGCAAGATTGATGCTGACGACTGCTTGGTGAACTCTGCTTGGCCCAATCAGATCCACTCCGTCGATGGGGACTGTGAGATTGAGATGAAACCCGGGGTGATCAAAGCTATCGTGGCCGACAAATGGCAGCTCTATGGCGACGTTAGATCAGGCTCCAGGGAATCTAGGGTTTAGGGTTTAGGGTTTAGGGCCTGAAACCCTAAAGCCTTAAACCGGGAAAGGATTCTCACACGGCAAGACCCTAATCGTTTGGGTTCTCTAGACTTTGCTCGTTCGACACCTTCGAAGTACTCTGGACAGTGTCATAGCAGTTTAGTGACACTATGCCTGGTTCTACTTCTCCAATGTTTTGTGCTACTCCTATAATGACATCTGGTACTGGCATACAAAAATCGTGAGTTCGCATCTGCAGCAAGTAGTCCGATCTCGAACACGGCACGGTTGTACGGAAACTGCAAGGGGCTGCGACGGTGATCAGAATGCATTCGAGCAGCCTAGCAATGAAAGGGTTGTCTCATTACTATTATTGCTATTATCTTCTTCATTGCTACTATTGTTCTCATTATTATTATTACTATTCTCATTATTATTACTACTATTATTCTCATTACTATTATTACTATTATCCACTTCCGTGCAGCCTTTCGGTTGCACGTTGACCTTTGCAAGACGCCCGCAGAGCATCTCGATCTCCACATGGGAGTTTCCGAAAATTAGGGGTACCTTATTTTGGGGGTACCTTTAAAGTTACCTATAAGGGTTCCTATAAGGGATCTACAGGGTTTAGGGTTTGGGGGTTTCCGAAAACTAGGGGTACCTTATTTGGGGGTCCTTATAATACGGATCCTACTATTTAGGGTACTATATTCGGGTCACTCCCATGTCGAGATTTCGAGGGCGGCCCCACGCAAGGGCAACAAAAGGCAGCGGCAGGCGTGTAACAACACCCTAAACCCTAAACCCTAAACCGGTGGCACAACCTAGAGCTTCCGCAGAAACGATCGGCAAGAGATCACGACGTCACCAGGATCCATTGCTTGTGTCTATACTTATGCAAAGATCCTCGGAGCTCCAGACGTAGTAGAAGTTCCTAAGCCCAAGCAACTCCTTGTAGGCTGGGGCGACATCTACTTCAACCGGCAGGGCTTCGACGGCTACACACGGGATTGGATCGAACCTTGGTGACTCGAAATGCAACTGTTCTGCTTGACATGGGCACCGCGCATTCCTTACAGAGCCATGGCACCCTTTTCTTCGAGAGAACAGAGAGTTCAACCACAGGTATGGATCAATCGATGAGCAGGTACCTGTGGGCACTATCAAGTACTGGAACGCAGTGGCTTGGCATAGCATCCTGCAGCGCTTGCCTCGCCTGTTGATTCAGTTTGTTGTGTGTTTCAGGTCTAAGTGTGGCTTTAAGATTTACATGCCATCCCACAAAGGATCCGGAGCACAACTGCTTATGCGGCGCATTCCGGCTGTGCCTGAAGGAGGCAATTCTTTAACGGTCGGAGGATGTTCAGGTTTTGGATTAGAGTTGAAGCGCCATCGCGCGCGGTGGGGGGTTCGCAGAACTCAGAGTCCTGGGATTGTGGGAAAATTCGCACCTGGATCAGTGAGATTCCAGGTCCTCAGAGCCAGTTGCAAGGTTTTGCCAGCGGCAAGATACGTATGAGATATATCATTACAGTTTTAGCATAATGGGCTTTTATTATCGGACAGTCGCCGTTGCATTGGGCGTTGGCTTCATTCCGGGTGAGGCTTCGGGGCGCACTGGGCTCAGGGCAAGGACTCTGTTTCATCAAAAGCGCCCCACTTGGAGGATCAGGGGACTTAGTAAGTAAGGTTATACGTCTCCTAAATGGGGCTATAAGTAAGTATAAGTATAGATACCCTATTTATAACCCTAATTACTAAGTCCCATGATCCTTTAAGCAGCATCTTTCATGGCCCCAGGCCCAAAGCTCCACGAAACCCCTGAAGCCCCCAAAACCCTAAACCCTAAACCTGAAACCCCTTCTAGGTTTAGGGTTTAGGGTTTAGGGTTTAGGGTTTAGGGTTTAGGGCCCCCGGAAAAAGGAGTTTAGAACAAAAAAACCTCAAACCCCAAGACCCTGAAACCTCAGAGGCAGTATTGTGTTTCAAGGGCCCATTGCCTGCACCGATTGCAGTTTCAGCATACGAACCCAGATTCCAGAGCCTCGCCATGGCTTAGGATTTATGGTTTAGCCCGAAACCCTTAAACCCTGAACCCTAAACCCCAAACCGTAAACCCTAAACCCCAAACCCTGAACCCTAAACCCCAAACCCTGAACCCTAAATCCTGAACCCTAATCCCCAAACCGTAAACCCGAAACCCCAAACCCTAAACCCTAAACCCCAAGCCCCAAACCCTAAACCCCAAACCCTAAACCCTCAACCCCAAACCTTAATCCCTAAAACCTAACGCTCGAGAAGGGTCGGGGAGGCGTCAAAGAGCAGGCTCTGCCAAGGCTCCGAGCGTTCTGCCGTACCACTAGAGGAAGCAGTGTCCTAAAAGTGGTCCTTCGGTTGATGATACATACCCTATTTTGCAGGGATCTATAAAGTACCTTTAAGGGTTCCTTTAAGTGATCTATACGGTTGATGAGATAAATCCAGCATGACCCAGAAAAAAGGAATATCTCATTTTTCCCATAGTTTAGGGTCCTTGAGGTAATGCAGGGTTTACATCATCAACAGTAGGAGGAGGAGGAGGAGGAGGAGGAGGAGGAGGAGGGAGATGGAGGCTAGGAGGAGGAGGACGAGGACAAGTAGTCGCACGAGTCGTAATGGAGGTAGTGGTGTGCAGTCGTTGCAGCCATCTTGGCAGAAACCTTGAACCGTAAACCCTAAGCCCTAAGCCCTACACCTAAACGTGTTTAATGTTCGAGTTACTTCTGGACAAGATTGTTCCGTGCCAGGGAGACTACACAACAACAACGACGACACCGGACGTGCGCGCTGATCCGGCATTGCAGGACATCAGTGCTGAACTAATATAGCTAAAAACTTACCAATACCATGTTGAGGGTCCTTGTTACAATTAGAGTATACGGGACCCAAACACCCTATTCTGATTATTAAGGCTCCTATATTACATCTTCTTACAAGTTGTGTGCATGCTTGCTTGGGTTTTGTAGGCATTCCCCTTACACAGGAGCTGTCCGACTTTTCAGGAACAGTTAAGTGGCCGCAAGCTTGCGGAGCGAAGTTTTCTGGCCTTGTCTTGGCTAACACCTGATCTCGGTTTAGGGTTTAGGGTTTAGGGTGTCCCATGTAGAATCTTTCAGCCTTTTATGCTCTATGCTCTGCAGGAGAGCATCTATGGCTGGAGTCTGCGAAGCGGGTCGGGTGCCCAACATGGAGGTTAGATGGTTTAGGGGATGGTGCAACCCTATTCCCTAGACCCTAATCCAAGTCCATCAGAGCAAACAACGCCAGCATGCAGCTTTGAGGGAAGGAATTTTCAAGGCCAGACAGCAAGCAACATCCGGTCCACGAGCCAAAGGGACAATGGGCACAAGCAAGACACGTGTGTAAAATCATCCTCTCCCAAGGCATGAGAGAAGGGGACATCAAGGTTTGGGGCGGAGAAAGAGGATGTGAGGACGACGCAGGGACATGGAGGGAGACGCTGGCATGATGGGAGTTCCGAAAGAAGCGTACGAGGGGGTCTGGAAGGACATTTCGATAGCTGACAAGGGGAGATGAAGCAGTGCTGGAGGGCCAGGTTCACCCCTGGAACCCTTGTTTCTATTCCTACCCCTAAACCTAGTTACTATTATAGAATGTTATAAGAGAATTTCCATTTTGAAGGTTAGGGGTATTAGGGTTGGGAATATGGTTTTGCTATGGGGGTGCGGGTCTTTGGGTTTGAGGTTGGGTTTTTTCTATGTGGTCGTGTATGGTTCTTTTAGTGGTTCCATCTTGTGGGTATTGGGGTTGGTTTTTTTTGGTGAGTTTAGGGTTGAGGTACGGGTTGTTATGGTTTGGATCTTCAGGTGGCCCAGGGGGTGTGCATGGTTAGAAAATGGAAATGGTCATTGCTAACTCTTTTAGGCTTTGGTATAGAGGACTGAATAATTACCAATACCATTTTGGGGTTTCCGTATTACAAACACGATATAATGAGTCCCAATACCCTATTCTAATTATGAAGGCCCCTACATTAACGAAGTATCAGATTCCCTAATTGCCTGGAACTCTGACCCCTAACTAAACCCTGAACTCTAGACCCTAGGCCCTAAACCCTAAACCCCTAAAGCCGTAAACCCCTAAACCCTTAAACCCTACTGTAAACCCTAAACCCCTTAAACCCCTAAACTCAGATCCTCCTCCTTCGTGCGAGAGATGGAAAGGGGTCATTGCACCTTAAAAAAACCTTAAACCCTAAACCCAAAACCCTAAACCCTAAACTCTGACGTCTGAGGACATGCTGGTTTGATCCAGGAAGCGGTTGCATCTCTTCGGATACCTGGGACAGCAGCTGGTATGAGCACAACGACCTTTGCAGGATCATGAGGGTTTAGGGTTTAGGGTTTAAGGTTTGGAACTTAGGGTATAGGGTTTAGGGTTTATGATGAGCACAGCGATGTTAGCAGGATCGACGTCGTTGAGGGGAATCAGAAGAGGATTCGCATGCACGGCTATGCTTGGTTTTGGGACGAGAACTACAAGCGGGTGGACACCCTTAATTATGATTACGAGGATCCCTTTATTTGGAGGATTGGCGCAGGAGATACTCTGGTGGTAAACGGGCTTGAGTTCGACAGCGGGTCGAAAGATCGTCCGGAGGGACTTGTGCCGCAAGGATCCATCGTCTGGACCACAGCCGCTTGGGCCAACAATTGGACCCTAAACCCTGAACCCCGAATCCCTAGAGAGGGCTGCGATGGAGTCCCACAGCCCAAAGCCCTAAACCCACAGCCCGGACACAGGCCGTAAATGGGAGTTTCCGAAAACAGGGGACCCTAATATAGTACCCTAAATCGTATGATCCTTATTATAAGGACCCCAAACTAAGGTACCCCTATTTTCGGAAACCCCCAAATTCCTCACCCTAACCCCTAAGCCCTGAGCCCGGCTAAGCGCTGCTTTCGAGGATGGCTCTGATGCGGAGGCTGGTTGGAAACTATGCCTCGAAGAGGCTTTGCAGGGGTTTCAAATCTATTTTCGGGAGTCTCCGAAAGTAGGGGACCCCCAAAATGGTACCCTGAATAGTAGGATCCTTATTATAAGCATGATAAGGACCTCAAAATAAGGTACCCCTAATGTGCGGAAACTCCCCTTTGGTTCCTTTCAGGGGATCTATCAGAGTTCCTTTAAGGGAGCTGTTTAGGGTTTAGGGTTTAAGGCTTAGGGTTTCGGGCTTATGGTTTCATGGTTTAGCCCCAAGACCCCAGGAGAAGTCCAACCCTGAAGAACCAGGCCAGAATTTGACCAACATATGGCGTTGAGACCTTGGGGCTTCCGGGCTGTACTTGGGTTTAGGGTTTAGGGTTTAGGGTTTGGGACTTAGTAACTGGGGCTATAAATAAGGCAACTATACTTATCATGACTTACAAGCCTCAAATAGGGTTCTCATAACCGTGCTTTCTCAGTCCCCTGATCCTCCAAGAAGTAAGGTAAAAGCCAGAAAGTTGGAATATGATTATCCTAACCCTTCTATGGTAAATTATAGGGTATCCTACCATGAAACCATATTCCAACTTTCTGGAGTTCCCTTTAAGGACTTGACGGGGAGGAGGGGGGGGTGCCTGGTTTGGGGCAGAGGCCCGAAAATCTCTCAGCCTGGAGAAATCCTCAAAGACTCTACTTGGAGGATGAGGGGACGTACGGTTGATGATAGAAATCCTGCATTACCTTAAGGACCCTAAACTATGGGAATTGTGGTATATTCCTTATTATAAGTAATGCAAGATTTATATCATCAACCGTAGTACCTAAGATTGTAAGTACCTTGCTTGGGGTTACAAGTAATTACAAGTACAGCTTTCCCGGATTTGTAAGCCCAGTTGCTACTTCCCATGGTCCTTTAAGCATGGTCTCAGCTCCAGGTGCCTCCAATCGAGGTGATCTCCGGGCCCATGTCTCAGAGGGTTTATGGCGGTTCAGCGCCTAATTCCTGAAAGGTTTGAAAGCCCAAGACCGAAACAGCCCAAAATGATATATATATATATATATATATAGAAGCCTTAATAATTAGACTAGGGTTTTGGGGGTTCCTTAGTATACCTATAGTATAATATAACCCAAAACCCTATTCTAATTATTTAGGCCCCTGCATTACACCCCAACACCTAGACCGTGTACCCGAGGTCCTGCGAGCGACTCTTGGACGAGCCTGACTGCGTTGCGAGCAAGGATTACCCCGAGATGAGTACTCCCGAGGACTGCTTGAACCTGGCCCAGCCTTTCGGAAGTGTTTTTTTTCTGTGTGTTTTGGGGTGTAGGGTTTAGGGCTTAAGGCTTTAGAGTTTAGGGTTTAGGGTTTTAGGGTTTAGGGCTTTAGGGTTTTAGGGTTTCGGGTTTTTTTAGGGTTTAGGGTTTAGAGCCATCGGCGCAGGGTTCAGGCTTTTTTTAGGGCAGCTTCCTGCAAAAAGCCGGCTTTTTGTCTACCCGAGCTCAGAGAAGGATGCATGTGCCCGAGGGCAATATGCGGCCTCTGATGGTCGTGGACTATGAGGTTGAGGAGCGTTGGGTCTCTCATCTCTCTGTCGATGCTGGGTTGTCCTTTTTGGGATCTTTTTTTCTAACACCCCTTATTATTCTGTAGAGAAACCATAATAGTAGATGATTTTCAGAGGGCTTAAAGGACAACAACTCAGGATACCACACCCTACTCAGCATTCTCGAAGGGGAAGGTCACAATCGTTCCGCAGTCGATGCTAGGCTGCCCTAAGAATCTTGGGTGCTTCCTGTTTAGGGTTTAGGGTTTACTTAGAGGATCAGGGAACTTAGTAAGTAGGTTATAACTGGGGTTATAAGTCCCCTAAGTGGGGTTATCCTAATTATAACCTACTTATAACCTTACTTACTAAGTCCCATGAGCCTTCAAGTAGGGTCTGATCTCTGAGACCTACGCACCTTGAGCCTCAGGAGGGTTCGCTGGGAGAAGCACGGCCAATCGCGGCCACTCAAATGGAAGATTTGCCTCGAGGACGTCCGAGCCAAATCCCCGGGATGTGGAAGTCTCATACTGTTTCTTTTTGTATTTATCTTTCGCATTGTAGGGCAGGGGCGGCGCATAGGGTAGCGTAGCATGTCATGTGGCATAAGTGCAGCACAGAATTGTTTTTACCATATGGTAGAGCACAGCATCAGGCCACCACGTACACAAATGCACCTGACCGTAAAGCTTAATGTTACACCACTCACGCCATGGCGAACGCCAAGCCAAATCCCATCATGTCGCAGTGTGTGGAGACAAGCTCCGACACGATGCGCAATGCCGCACACGATTCAGGCATTCGCATTCGCATTGCTTCGCATGTGGGTTCGCGTTCGGATTCGTGTCGCATTCGCGTCAGATTCGCATCGTGTCGCATCGCGATGTACCTTTAGTGTATGTAGTTCAGTGGGCGTGGTATGCGTGAGAGAAAGAGAAGGAAATACCTTTTGCTCCCAAACAGAGCGGATTGATTTGTGGCGCCCTGCTGCAGATTGCCAGGGTTTTGGCTTGGGTCCAAAACAATAGTCCTACGTGCCCAGGGGCAGAAGTAACACGTTGTTGAAAGCTGCAGAAAGTTGACTTTGCGGAGACAGGGTGAGGGGGCGGCGGCAAGGCGGAAATGTGGGCAGATCTCCCTTTAGGGTCGAGAGACAGGTCTTCGGGTCTGACTTGTGTAGAGCTCGTCTTGTGTGGGGCTCCAGGTTTAGGTTCAACATTGGCTGGAATGGTAAATGATACCATTCCTGAGAGCAAGACCCCACAGAATCGGGTTTGGGCACCGAATCCAAACCTGTAGGATCCGCTGACAACCACCGTGACGTCCACCAGCACGATCCATTGGCAGGCAAGGTACGGTTGATGATATATATCCTGCATTACCTTAAGGACCCTAAACTATGGGAATTATGGTATATTCCTCATTATGGGTAGTGCAGGATTTATTTCATCAACCGTAGGGGTTTGGGTTGACAGTAGAGTCAGCGCCGAGGTTTTCGGGTTCAGGGTTTAGGGGCTTTCGTCCCCTACACCCAAATAATCTCTAAACCTCCAAACTCCCCAAACCCAAGCTACATCCTGAGAACCTTCTCCCACCTGCCCAAGCGGCCGTGAACGAGCTGTCTAGGCTGAGTGTAAGGATAAAGGAGTTTCGGGTTTAGGTTTCAGAGGGGTCTACGCAAGGAATCTGACTGTTTGGACATGCACAAGGCCTCGTTTTGTGTAGGTTAGGGCTTAGGTCTTAGTGCGTCCGTGACCATCTAATCCCAAAGCCGCACAAATAATTCCAAACCTGCCAACAATCTAGCGAAGATCCCAAACTTCAACCCCCAATCACCCTAAACCCTAACCCTAAACCCTCAACCGTAGACCCTAAACCACAGAAAAACATCCTAACCCTCAATCGCAACCCTGGGAACTTGGCTCCGGAAACGGACGCAGGTGCGGCCGGGTTCTGGCTGGAGGGTTGAGGGGTCGCGACCTCAGAAAGGGGCTTGTTGCGGGTTAAGGCTTTAGGGGGATTGGTTTCTGGTTTAGGTTTGGGGTTGAGGGTTTCGGATTTAGGTTTCGGGGTTCAAGGAAAGGGCAGTGGATTGGGATTGGGGGAGTCCTCCCTAAACCCTAGACATTCGGAAACCCTAATCCCCAAACACTACACCCACACAGTCAGACCCCATGGGGTGAGCTGGAGCTGCGGAGAAAGCCTGTCACACTAAAAAACAACACTACGCCCTGTACTCACGGGGGTCAGGATCAGACGGCTTTCAGGCCGCCTTTTCCTTACTATGGCTTACATGTGGGTGGTTGTCAATATTGGGGTCCCTTTTTGGGTCCTTAATATAATACGGCACCTAATTTTTAGGGTGCCCAAAAAGGGACCCCAATTCTGACAACCACCCACATGTGATTCTAAGTTTTGGGGTTTGGGGTTCAGATCCAACGTTGAAGTGCTGTGCGCTCGGTTCTGGACCAATGATTTCAAGGCTACTTGGAGGATCAGGGGACTTAGCAAGTAAGGTTATAAGTACCATAATCGGGGCTGCAAGTAATTATAGGTATAGTTTCCTTGGTTATAACCCCAGTTACTAATTCCCATGACCCTTTAAGTAGCCTGAAGTTCCAGGACGTCGCCTGGGGTTTCAAGCTGAACTGCAGCGCAAGGATGTGCCCTAAAGCCTAATCCGAAACCCCAAACCCCAAACCCTAAATCCTAAACCCCAAGCCCTAAACCCTAAATGCAAAACCCTAAACCCTAAACCCTAAACCCCAAGCCCTAAATCCTAAATGCAAGACCCAAAACCCTAAACCCTAAATGCCAAAAGCCACTAAAAGAAACCTTGGAGTCCAAGGAGCCGAGCCGTGCTTAAATGATCATGGGACTTTGTAACTAGGGTTCCTTAAAGGGATCTACAAGGGTTCCTTAAAGGGCTCTATAAATGTAAATGGATCTACAAGGGTTTAGGGTACTTAAGGGATTATGGGACTTAGTAACTAGGGTTATATGTAAGGCAACTATACTTATGATTACTTATAACCCCCAATTAGGGTACTTATAACCTTACTTACTAAGCCCCTGATCCTCCAAGTAGACCCTAAACCCTAAACCCAAAAGATCCCTTCAAGGAAGCCTATGGATCCGTTCTACAGAGCTCTTTAAGAAACGCTTACGAAGTCCCCTGATCCTCGAAGTAGACCCTAAACCCTAAACTAAACCCTATAGATCCTTTTAAGGAACCCTATATACATCCCTTCTAAGGAGCCCTTTCAGAACCCTTACTAAGTCCGCTGATCCTCCAAGTGCCCAAGGACTTGCAGGCTGCAGATCGATGGTTGCATCAGCAGTGGCAATTTCCCAAGCCGCTACCGGGATCTCTGAAGGGTTTGGTTTAGGGTTTGAGTTTAGGGTTTAGGGTTAAGGGGTTAGGTTTTGTTGGGGTTCAAAGGTTTAGGGTTTGGGGGTTTTGGTAGGACTGGCTGCAGGCTAGCTCTTGTTTAGGGTTTGGGGTTGCGGGCTTAGGAATGTTGGGTCAGGGTTTGGGGTTTAGGGTTTAGGGCTTAATGTTGAGGGTTTAGGATTTAGGGTCGAGGTATAGGGTTTAGGGTTTAGAAGTTTAAGTCATTTGCTATATAGAGCCGATCATGGTAACTAGAAGAGTAAGTTCCTTAACTGACAGGCTACCCAGATCACGACCGTTGTGTCATCGAGGTGGATGACGACAACACGAAGGTTCTTAAGGCGGGATAGGCTTTTGAGATGTGCCTAAGGTCTTCAAGACAACACAGACATGATTCCGTCGGGCGATGATGGTGGCACTGGAGTCGGGGTCCAGTGCATACTCGTAGAAGACTCGTAGGCTCTAACCACATAGACTTAAACCCGTGCTAAACTTCGGTTTTCACACTGAAGACCCTGAGGTGCGCGACTGGAGCGTCGGTTACGGCGATGAGCTGCGAATTTGTCACGAGACGCGACAGCAATCCCCACCCGAAGCCCAAATCCTGAACTGTTCGAGAATGCCCAGACCTAACATGCCCCGAAAGTCTAATCAGTGGTGCTTCCGGTTGATGTTATAAATCCTGCATTACCCATAATAGGGAATATACCATGATTCCCATAGTTTAGGGTCCTTAAGGTAATGCAGGATTTATATCATCAACCACTCTCACCGTAGAAACAGCTTTCCTGAGGGCGAGGACGGCTTGTTTCAGGGCGAGGACAGCCTTTGCTGGAATCGCTACGGTCGTGATGCTCAACCTGCCGATGGCCTGGTGCCGCGTGGATTCATCTACTGGACCACTGAAACTTGGCAGTGCGTTTAATGTCAGGTTCGGCCAAGCAGCCGGAACCCTAAACCCGAGACCCTAAAACGTAGGCCAATGTCGCGCCAAAAAAAGTTCAGACGGTTTTTCTGCCAGCCGGGAATTCCCCACAACAACCCGCAACACCTTCAACCCCTGTCCTCCAAAAATAGTGCGGCACCCTTATGAAAACGATCCCAAAACGAACTCTACGCAATATAGAGAACAACTCATGCAATTCGGCTTTGTGATGCCTTCGAGTGACGCATCGAAGCCGAAGCTCTGAACCGAACATTCTCTTGGGAAGGTCTGTTTTAGAATGTTTTACCTTTTATAGTTTTAGAGCTGTGGGTTTCGGGTACAGGCCACAAGGTTCAGGGCTTAGGGCTTAGAGATTACCGTTTCTTACAGTTTCTTCTAGAGATTCTACAGGGCTCAGCGGAGACCGCAAGGACGGCTTCTTTGCCGACTGTTCTTAATGAATGGGTTATGGGGACGACTACAAGGGACCCATCACAAGGATCCATTCCCCGATCCTACTAAGAACCAGACAGTTTAGAGGCTTCCCACCATGAACCGAGCCGGAATACGAGAAATGAGCACAAGGACCTGCATCGACGCTCACGGTCCTACTAGGGATGGCAACCCTAAGCCCTAACCCTAAAACCTGGACCCCTGAACCTCTAACCCCAAAGGCCCTAAGCCCCAAATGCTAAAGGCCCTAAAGGCCTTAGGACCCTAATAATGGGGCCGAAATAATTACCAATACTGTTTTGGGGAATCATTGAAATAGTTGTAGCATAGTGGGCACCAAAACCCTATTCGAATTATTGAGGTCCCCATATGGAACTCCACTACAGATCCCTTATAGACCCCTTATAAGAATCCTCTAAAGGCATCCTTATTCAAATTATGAAGGCCTCTATGTAGAGCCTTATTCTAGAGCCCTTAATTGAGACCCTAATCCCCCATTAAAGAGCCCGTACAGACCCTTTGTAAGAACCCCTGAAAGGAACCCTTGTTCTACTCACTAAGGCCCTAAAGGCCGTAAAGGCCTTAAGGCCTTACACCCTAAACCCTATTCTAATGATTAAGGCCCCTATACTAAACCCTTATAGACCCTTCATAAGAGCCCGTGACAAGGAACCCTATTCTGAGTATTAAGGCACCTAGATTAAGGACCCTATTCCAGAGCCCTTAATTAAGGCCCTTTATATATAGAGTTAGAAAAGAGGTTCCTTCAAAGGGTTCTCATAAAGGGTCCATGAGGGCTCTTTAATGGAGTTCTATATAAGGCCCCTACACTTGGAGGGGCAAGGGATTTAGTAAGTGGGTTATAAGTAGACTTATAAGTACCCTAAATGAATAGAGTTACCCCAATTATAACCCTACTTACAAACGACTCACTAAGTCCCGTGGCCCTCCAAGTATTTCCCTTTAAAACCAGGATGGCGACAACACGGCGGGCTTCGGTTCCGGCAGCGGCTGGCAGATCTGTCTCGAAGAGGCAAAGTGCTCAAAACGGTATTAGGGCTTGGGGTTCAGATTTTAGGGCGTAGTGTCTGGGCTGAGGGATTAGGGTTTAGGGCTTGGGGTTTAGGGCTTGGGGTTTAGGTTTAGGGTTTGGGGTTGAGGGTTTAGGGTGACTACGAGGGTTGTTTAAGAGGGTGATAAGGGCTACCACATATAAGGGTTATACTACAGGGGTTACTGTAATTAAGCGCTATTTTATATGAGTTGGTGGAAGTGCTGCTGCATCTATTTCTAGTTACTATAAGGGAGGCTCACGGGTAGGTTCTACAGGCTACGCCGCTAGTCGCCCGCCATCGCAAGCGTCCCACATGTTGCAAACAATTAGCACAAGCAGGTGCAGGCAGGTCTTTTTGAGTCCAGGGTTGCGGGTCGCCCCAACTCCTAAATCCTAAACCTTCAAGCTCGAACCCCTAAACCGTCACAAGGCCTGCTTGGAAGATCAGGGGACTTTGTAAGTAAGATTATAAGTACCTTAATTCGGGTTATAAAGTAAGGTTACCTTATTTATAACCCTAGTTACTAAGTACCATGGTCCTTTAAGTAGACCCCGAACCCCTAAACCCTAAACCGTGCGATTTCAAGCAGGTGTTTGGCATCTTGGCGAGCACTTGTTGCGGTGACCAGCCATGACCCGCCGCAGGTTAGGGTTTTAGAGTTTAGGGTGTAGTGTTTAGGGGCTTTAAGGTTTTGGAGCTTTTTGTGCTTGAGTCTTGAGATGTGGGCTCAACTTTTCATAGAGGTCGCTAAGCATCAATCACTCTCCTCGCACATGGCTCCACAGAAGGGGGGGGCCCTAAACGCTAAATCCTAAACCTAAACCTGAAGACCAAAATGCAAAAATGCCTAAATGCCTAGACGCTGAACCACTAAATCCTAAAACCTTACGCCCTGAAACCCAAAACCCCTAACCCCCTCTAGACATCCTAGACCCCTAAAGCTTAAACCCTTAAGCCCCTAAACCCCTCAAAATCAAAGCCTTAAATCCCGACCGCCGAGATCCTTTCAACGTCGCCTGCAAGTCATTCCAGCAAAAGTGCCAGGCTGGGATGGCGAATAAGGGATCTATACTGTTGATGGACGAATTCCGGCATTACCCTTTTTAAGGAATGTACCATAGTTCCCATAGTTTAGAGCCCTTAGGGTCATGCAGGATTTTGTCCATCAACAGTAAGGGTACTTGGAGGATCATAGGACTTAGTAAGTAAGGTTTTGCGTCCCCTAATTGGGGTATAAGTAATTATAAGTATAGTTATAGTATAGTTACCTTATTTATAACCCTACTTACTAAGTCCCATGATCCTTCAAGTCCTTGAATATCGGGGCCTTTATAATTATGATTTTTTGAGCCAAGCAGATGAACCACTGCCGTAACCTACCAGAACCTGCTTGTTTTGCAATATTAGGGTTCATAATCAGAACCTGCAAACATGTCGGTATTGGTAGGTCAAGGTAGTTTAGGGTCTGTAGGGTTTAGGGGTCTTGTAAAGGTTAGGGTTTTCCGCAGGTCTAGAGGTGTAGAGTTTGAAGAGTTAGCGGCTCATAGAGTTTTGTCTGCTTGAAGGATCATGGGACTGAGTAACTAAGGGTTCCTTAAAGGGCTCCTTAAAGGGATCTACAAGGGTTCCTTATAGGTTTCTATAATGGATCTATAAGGGTTTAGGGTACTTAAAGGATCATGGGACTTAGTAAGTAGGGTTATAAATAAGGTAACTATACTTACAATTACTTATACCCCAATTAGGGGACTCATAACCTTACTTACTAAGTCCCATGATCCTCCAAGTAGGGTTCTTAAGGTTTAGAGTTTGGCCGGCAGACAGGCTCGTAGCGCATTGATTAAAGGGAGCAGCTCTGCATAGCAGTGCTACTGCTTTTGTCACAATTCCGCAAGAAAGAACATGCTCGGACAGATCCAGAAACCCTGAAAGACTCCAATACCCAAAACCCTAAACCTTATACCCTAAACCCTAAACCTAACCCTAAAACCTAAACCCTAAACCCAGCCCAAAACCCTAAACCGCTGGTCCCACAACGTCGGGAAGAGCCCACGCAGGACTGCGAACTGGCTTGGTGCATCAGCAAAGAAAGCTCCTGCCCGCTCGTCTGCTGTGGCCGCTTAGATGCATTGAAGGCTTAGGTACTGTAGGGGCCTTTATACTTAGAAAAGGGCTTTGGGGGTTCCTTATTGACTTAGTTAGGTAATATAGGGGCCTCATAATATTTAGAAAAGGGTTAGCTCAGAACTTCTGCATTTCGCTTTCCGGAGGTGAAAGACAGGATGTTCAGCAAAGGGTCATAATATAGGGGCCTTTATACTTAGATTGGGGTTTTGGCGCTTCCTTATTCTAGTTTTAGTGTGATGTACCCCCAAACCCTGTTCTAATTATGAAGGGCCCTACAATTACAGTGTTACCCTCGCCCGAAACCCAGCTGCAGGAGCCCACAACAAGAGGCCCGGCGTCAAGCAATCGGTTCTGCTAGATGTCACGGGGAAGCAACCTTAGTCCTGCCTGTGTGGCTTGCAGGGTGCGGGCTTAAATTCAGGGTGCATGTGCAGCTTTAGGGGTTTAGGGTTTAGGGTTTCATACCTAAACCGTACTTTAGGGGTTTAGGGTTTAGGGTTTTAATTATACCTAAGCCGTACTTTAGGGGTTTAGGGTTTAGGGTTTAGGGTTTTATACCTAAACCGTACTAGGCAGCTACATGCCAAGGTGGGGAGAGGAAGTGCGCAATGAACGTTTACGACGATGCGCGGCGGCCCTGGACAGGGATATGACCGAGTCCCAATCTAGAGTCCCTACTTGGAGGATCAGGGGACTTAGTGAGGGTTCTTAAAGGGCTCCTTAAAGGGATGTATATAGGGTTCCTTGAAGGGATCTTTTGGGTTTAGGGTTTAGGGTCTACTTGGAGGATCAGGGGACTTAGTAAGTAAGGTTATAAGCACCCTAATTGGGGTTATAGGTAATTAAAAGTATAGTTACTTATAGCCCGAGTTACTAAGTCCCAGGATCCTTTGAGTATGCCTCAAGCCAAGAGCTGTGAGGTCTGGAGCGCTTCAGGCGGGCTTGGGTGGAGCTTCGTGCTGATTGTGAATTGTGAGGGTTGATGCTTGCAAGAGTTGTTAGAGGTCGGAACAATTAGGAATAGTATCCCCTATACTTGGGGGCTGTATAAAAACACAGCCCCAAGCCCACTATACTGTGCTTTTCAAGACCCCCATAATTACCCCTTCGGCGTGGTACATCTGGCAGAAGGAGAGAATCCATGATAGCATGGGTTTGCGCTGGCGTAAGCCATTCAGAGCCCTTGGATTGAAAAAAGTTCTTCCGTAGTCTTGACTGCGACGGTGCATGAGAGAACTTCTTGTCCGCTTATGGCTCGAATCTTGGTAATGCGCCACTCTTTCTCTCTACAGTAGAAGCCAGAAAGTTGGAACATGGCTTTAGGAGGATTAGTGCTAGGATCCCTTATACTTTACCTTAAGGGCATGAGGAGTCTGATGTTCCAACTTTCAGGCTTCTACTATACTTCCCTGAAGCCCTACGCGCAGGGCACAAGTGACTGGTGCTGGGATACCAGCTCGGGTCACGTGGACGAGAATGGCATCGCGATTGCCTGGCCGGAGAGCTACTGCCCCTGCAATAGCCAGCCGAGGCCTCAGACAACCAAAAACCGGAGCCCAAAACACCAAAAACCAGAACCCTACACCCCTGAACCCCTGAACTTCTGAATGCCTAAACCCTTAAAGCCAAAGCCTTAACCCTAAACCCTAAACCCTAAACCCAAACCCCTAAACCCAAAGCCTTAAACCCTCGATCATGGGCTGAGCTCAGAACTTCTGCGTTTCGCCCCCCGGAGGTGAAAGACAGGATGTTCAGCAAAGGGTCATAATATAGGGGCCTTAATGACTAGCAAAGGGTTTTGGGGGCTCCTTACTATAATTATGGTACAATATACCCGCAAACCCTATTCTAATGATTAAGGCCCCTATAGTAGCTTTACACCACGATTGGCGGGTCTCAGCTTGCAGCGTGTGTGGTGAAACCATGGGGTCCGAGGAGGGTTTAGTTTAGGGAAGGGGCTTAGCGGTTTAGATTAGGGATAAGGGCTTAGTTGAGGGCTTCAACTTAAAACTCTAATTCCTATATGGGTGGTTGTCAAAATTAGGGTCCCTTTTTGGGTCCTTATTATAATACGGCACCTACTATTTAGGGTACTCAAAAAGGAACCAAAATTTTGACAACCACCCATATAATCCCTAAACCCTCAACTTAAACCCCTCAACCTTAAACCCCTAAGCCCTAAGCGTTTTAAGCCTGCCATGCGTCGCCCAGGCATGAGAAGCTTTGCAAGATCGATAAAGCAGGCACCGCAGTCGCAATGTGCAAGTTAACTCTCTCTCTCTCTCTATATATGTATATATGCAAATATGTGTATCTATATATATATACACACACACACATACATGCACACATACATGGTATGTGTATATAAACATATACATATTTCTTTTGCAGTTTGTAAAGCAGATACGTAGATATGCATGTACATATAATGAGACAGAAAGCTCTATCTTGGGGGAATTGGTTTCTGACCCTTCATGACCCTAGTCTGAGCTGTTGAAACAGCTTCATTTGCATTGTTTTGCTCTTGACCTTGTTGTGCCGGTAACGTCACTGATGGCAGGTTCTGGTGTCTCGGAAAGGGATGACTGAAGCGCGTAATATAGGGGCCAAAATAATTACCAATACTCTTCTGGGGTTCCTTATACTTTCCTATCTAGTATAATGGACCCTTCAAACTCTTCGAATCAGTAAGGCCCCTATATTTCTCCACAGAAGGAAGCACGGCTCGTGGCACCGGCACTGGCAGTACTTCACCGCAGATCGTTGCAACAGGTTCCCGTCATGGCAGAAGCCCTATCAACTTTATCATGGCTTCCTGTTACGACGCAGGGATACCGAGCATAGGGCCTTATCGTAAGCCTTGCCGCGGATTACCTGTGTGGGAGCACTTCGGCAGGCACCCAGAAGTGCTTTCTGCGATCTGAAGACTGCCCTGTGATCTGTGAGTCTTCACAGAAGGCCGGGTTTCCCTACGCTCACGGCGTGGCCTCAAGCAACTCAAAGCACCAAGCCCTGTCCTCTGTTGCGAGGAGTGCTTTATGCCGGCATATCGGTCCGATGGCCCCTCAGCAAAGCCGGTTCAGCCTTCACGATTGGGTCTTAAACTCAAGTCCCCGAGCCTGTGGTTCAGGGTTCAGGGGCCCGAAGCCGAATTTCCGCAGTGAACTCGAGTCGGAGGTAATTGGGATTCTGTCGGACTGAGTGAATTGGGTTATTGATAAGTTAACGGTACCTTCAAGTACATGTAGCGCCGATCAAGATACTAATAACCTTAGTTACTAAGGTCTCTGATTGATCCTCCAAGTAAGAGGGTCATGTCAGAACCTGATCCCCTGGCTTCGGTGTACTGTTGGAAGTCTATCAAACCGGAAGTTGCGGCGAACCATCGTTGTTATTGTTGTTACTAGTACGGTTTCTGCTATCATTAGTGTGGTCGTTGTTAGTATTAATGTTTTGATGATGATTTTCTTTTTTTATCAATGTTATGCTTGTTTCTACTATTGCTATTATTGTTGCTATTTGTTTTATCACTGTTATGCCTGTTTTTACGATTGTTGCCGTTGTTACTAATTTTATTGTTCTTGACTTTTATTATGACTATTTCTTATTCATATTCTTGTTATTATGATGACCATCCATATATATACATATATATACTATCATTATGAAGATGCTGGGTATGCTTCCTGTTCTTATTGCTGTTGCCATTATTATCACATTGTTAGTCTTCCTATTATTCTGATTATGGTTGTTGGTAATAGTAATAATGACAAGGAGTATAGTTACCAATATTATTGTTACGGTTGCTGATACCTGAACCCCGAAAGTTGCCCTTCTGCAAGCCCCTGAACCCCAACCCTCTCATTGACAGTGAGGCTTCGTGAACACGGCAGCTCCACCCAGCAAGTCCTGTATCAGTTCGTCTGGGCTGGGGCCCGAGATTGCAGGGGCAACTAAACCTTAATAGTTCGATTAGGGGTTTGGGGGCCATCATTCTATTTATTTTTTTTAGTAGGGGATCCCCAAAATAGCATTGGTAATTTTTAGGCCCCTAAACCCTAAGCTTTGAACCTTAAACCCTAAACCACCAACCTTGAACCCAACCCTTCCAGTTAGAGCCACGAAAGCCAAGTGCAAGCCTACGAGGATTCGGGGACTTAGTAAGTAAGGTTGCAGGCACCTTAACTAATTGGGCCTATAAAGACTTATGTGTACAGGTACCATATTTATGCCCCTACTAGTAGTTATTAAGTCCCATGATCCCTTTGGTAAGGTCGAAGGCGCAGGGCTTGGGGTTTCCATCTCAGAGTTCGGAAGTGTAGAGCTTGGGTTCGTCCGGCTTCTGCGCTGTAGGGCTTAGGGCTCGAGGGCCATGCCGGCTACGTCATGTGTTTCATATTTGATATGAGTTTATACGTGCATACATATATATATATATATTTAAAATGTAGATGTGTGTACAGGTAGAGGTATAGACACAGATATAGATATAGATCACTCTTTGTCCTAGGGGCAGGGCCTTAATCTTGATGAGTTACGCACGATCCGCCCAGGGATTGCCCGTGTCATCCGGAGCACGAGTGGACCTGCCTTGGGCTTGGAGCGCAAGCACTTGGAGCATTTAGCGTGTAATATAGGGACCGTAATAATCAGAATAGGGTTCCTGTAAAGGGATCCTCAAAGGGTTCTATAAGGGCTCGCAGGATGTTGCAGAGATTCGCTGACAGTGGATTGGGTTTAGAAGCATCCGGCAAGGCAAGATGCAACCTCGCAGTTGTTCCGCCCTGAACCCGAAACCCAAACCCTCCCTTAGGAAACGCAAAGGACCCTCAGCCCTAAACCCTAAATCCTAAACCCTAATTTGGATGGGAGCTCACAGGACTTTGGCATCCTTGAAGCAAAAGTAGATCAGGGCATGACGGGGCAGTTTTGGTGCCTGAATAATTGCTAACGGGTTTAGGGTTTATGGCTTAGGGTGGTTCTTTAGGGCTCCGTAGTATAGCTATGTTTAGGGTTTAGAGTTTAGGGGTTTGGGGTTTTATGTCTATAGTTTCATATACCCCAAAGCCGAGTCCGAATCCTTGAGGACGCTGCAGTAGAAGCTCACCCTTCGCTTAGGCCTTCGAGGCGCAGGGCCTCCCACACGGGGTTCTTATAATAAGGATCCTACTGTTTAGGGTACGATATTCGGGTCCCCTATTTTCGGCAACCCCTATATGGACCCCTAAACCCTAAACCCTTTTAGAACCCTTATAGGTCCCTTAAAGGAACCCACAGGGTCCCCTATTTGTGGCAACCCCCACATAAGGCCCCAATCTGCTCAAGGGCTGCAGTGCGCAGCCCAATAGGATCTGTGCTTGCGTGGTTACGGGAGTTTCCGAGAATAGGCGACCCTAAAATACAGTACCCTAAAAGGTAGGATCCTCGATATAAGAACCCCTCCTAATTTTCGGAAACTCCCTTATAGTCTCGAACCTTGTTTTAACTCTCAGGCGCCTGCAGTAGCATCTCTAAACCCCTGAACCCCTAAACCTTAAACCTTAAACCCCTAAAAAACCCCCAGACCCCTGAGCCCCTAATAGCCCCTAGACCTCTTTAACGCCCAAACCCATCAACCCCTAAACCCCTAAACACCTACACCCCTGAGCCCCTAAACCACCAACCCCTACTAATCCCTTAAACCCCTACAATCCCCAAGCCTGAAAACCCCTAAACAACCCCCCAACCCCCTAGGCAACCCTAAACCCTAAACGCTAAACCCTAAACCTTAAACCCTAAACCTTAAACCCTAAACCCTAAGCCCTAATCCCTAAGCCCTAATCCCTAAACCCTAAACCCCTAGGCTGGACGGAGGAGGGCGACTCTTACTGCAAAGCCAAGCAGCAGGGAGCCTGCCCAGTGCGCCCTGGCGGAAGAAGCTTCTTGCGTAGAGACATGCAGTTGACGATTGTATATATCTATAGATGACGCGTATGTATATATATATATATATACATATAATATACAAATACTCATTTTATGTTGAGTATGTGTTTGATATAAGCAGTTACACAAAACTTATCTGTGTTATTCAACGGCTTTGGAGGGTCCACGTTCGTCGCCAGTCGACGGTACAGAGGAGGCCCATTCTTCTTGGTGACTTGTGGGGCACTCTCCAACATCTGGGGGTTTCCGAAAATAGGGGACCCTAATATAGTACCCCTAATAGTAGGATCCTTATGAAAGGACCCCCCAAAAAGGTACCCCTGATTTTGGAAACTCCCATCTGGCTGCCTCGCCCGAGCAAGAGAGAACAAGAATCCAGCGAGAGTTCAGTGTTTTTTAGCGGGTGTTGAGGTACGGCTGGGAGAGGGCAGCCTTTTCGCACGCATCTTAAGCGGTGCCGATGTGTCTGTAGTTCCCTTAGTACAAGGGCAGCCCAAAACCCTAAACTCTAGACCTGGAAAGAAAACCTAAACCTCTAAGCCCGTACACCCTAAACCCTAAACTTTAAACAAGAGCTCCGTTTGGTCCAGAAGCTGGAGCAGCAGCTTGGCAACACTCCTGAATATAGATGCCTTGGAACCTCTGCTGGGGAACGGAAGCTACATTGCAGACGGTGTGGGGGCAAACCACCTTCCGAATGTGTACCGGGATAAAGCAGGGGGCTACCGCATCACCATTGCTTTTCGCATATATGATGGAACAAGCACTATGCGAAACAGCATCACGCTTCCAGTGGCATGAGTTGCCCCGCTTGCACCCCGACCTGCCCTATGGAGAATCCTTGTTCATGGATGATGGACTACTCTGGATTCGTGACGTTGCCACGCTCGGCCGGAAGCTTACCGAGTTCTCGAAGGTTCTCCAGGAGTATGGGTTCAGGCTGAATCACGGTAAGTGCAAGCTTTACTGTTCTCCATACAGTGGGCCGGTTCGCTCGCTGCAGCTGGGCCAGTCCAGGCTAGAGGACCAAGGGTTCATCAGGGACTTGAGGCTTGAGATGAAGGTGGGGATGGCGACCTGCCAGTTCCTTCAGGCGCTCCTGCCGCATGCTAGGAACAAGTTCTGGTCACTCAAACATGTGTCGCGTGCGCATACTCCTGCAGCGGGGCGGGCTAAACTTATGGACAGGGTCGTTACCAATTCCATCATGTGGTGTCTTGAGGCTATTCCACCTGACAAACATGGCCTGTGCTTGGTCAGTGCCACCCAGGCGATGCTGATGGGTTTGATGGTTCGACATGCGAAGAGCTTGGAGGAAACATGGATCGACTTTAGGCGGCGGTCTACCCGGGCTACAAGGGCTATCCTCTACAGCACATACACGAGGACCAATACCAGGCAGGACCGGGAATACCAGATGTGGGAGGATGGGGTCATGGCGGATGCTTTCCAACATCCAGCTCGAGGACGTAAGCGGCGAGGGCTTGAGGTGGAGCTTAGTTCTGGCAGTGCTGATATCCCATGGTGACGAGACGATTGGTCCTGCCTCTCTACGATGGTGTGGTGAACCTTCGTCTGCGAATGGTACAGGAGGTCGAGACCAGTGAAGCTGTTTCTGCTCCTCTTCACCGTCGCCGAGGATGCAGTGGCACCCCTGGCGCATGAGGAATTTGAAGCCATCGTTGCTCAGGTCGCGGTCGGGGTCCTCACCGTGCCTCAAGTGCAGGCCCGCTATGGTCGCGAGGTCCTCGAGATGGTCCAAGTGCAATGGGCAATGCGGGACGGGGCAGACATGCCAGTGCAGCCGGACATCCCGTGAAGTGAATATGACAAGATGCATGGCTTCTGGGCGGCAGGTCAGTTTGACGATGACGAGGTTCTACGCACACTGGGGGCCTCAGCCCTCGACGTGTTCCAGTCAAGGAAGTTGCTCCACGAGCAGGGGATTTGGACTGACGAGTCGAACGTGCCGCCGGTGCCGACTGACCTTGCACAGGAACCTCTCGTAAATGATGCTTGTCAGGGCTACTCCGACCAAGTGGAGATAGCGATGGATCTACTCACGACAGGGCCAGGGGTTGCGCCGACACACATTGAAGAAGACGAAAGTGGTGCAGTGCCCGGACGATGCCGCAGACCAGATGGAGGGGTGAAGCACATGGACAGGGTCCACATACCAAGAGGTTCGATATGAGAACGAGGCAAGGGGGGAAGGAACGTAGAGATGATGCCTTGTTTTCCCGATGTGGCCAAATGTGCCATGTCGTCCTGGCCGTTTAGGCCTCGCAGACCCCCGGGCACTGCAGAAAAGGAGGTCCAACAAAAACAAGAGCTCCGTGCTTCTGTTCTCAGTTATTGAGTTTCGGAATACAGGCGAAGGGAGGCGCTATTTCGATCGAGGACTCAGGATCCCATGCTGGTAGTAGTAGTACTGGTAGCAGTAGTAGTGGCAGTAGTGGTGGTAGTGGTAGTGGTAGTGGTAGTGGTAGTGGTAGTGGTAGTGGTAGTAGTAGTAGTAGTAGTAGTAGTAGTAGTGGTGGTAGTAGTAGCAGTAGTAGTAGCGGGAGTAGTAGTAGTAGTAGTAGTAGTAGTAGTAGTAGTAGTAGTAGTAGTAGTCGTAGTAGTATTGTTCCTCTTCCTTGTATCACTCTTCTTGATAAACAATCTATTTAATATCCCCGCAGCCCTCCACCTAAACCCGCTACCTATCACCTTCGAAGCCAAGCAAATCTGCTAGAGCTCTTCCGAAGCAAGGTTTTGGGCTTTAGGGTTTAGGGTTTAGAGATGTGTATTCAGTTATAGACAAGGCTCCCTACAGCCTTAGCTAAGTAAGGCCTGTACATCTCTTGAGATCGGAAACTTTGGGACCATGAATTAGGGTTTGGGGTGCAGGGTTGGCCCCGGCCCAGAGCAAAGTTTGCAACAGCTTAAACTCCAATCATGAGCCCTGCACATCCCAGGGTCTGCTATCCTGGGAATCCGTGCTGCATTCAGACAGAGTTTCTTCTGCTCAGGGTGGAGTAGGGTTGAGGTCTTATGAGGGTGGTTCTGGGACTGTTCGAGCCGTTTGAATTTGGTGTGTCCTTTAGCGAAGGCAGTAGGGCTGAGGGTCGTAGGTCAGACTGTGCCGTCCTACGGCTTCTGTCGGGCGAAGCGCTAACCCGCCCCAAGCCTTAAGCCCCTAAACCCAAAACCCTAAACTCTGAACACCAAAAAAGAAGAGCAATGGGGTTTCGTCAACCTCAAGGCTGCGAAGGCTACTCCAAGAGCGTTTAAGGTTTAAACTTTAGGGTTTGAGGTTTCGGGTTCAGGTTTTGGGGTTTAGAGTTCAGCGTAAAAAGTTGAAGTTTCAGGACACGGCTTTAAAATGAAGGCCCAGAATGCTGCCTTGCAGCCCTGACCTGCATTGCGCTTAGGGTTTTAGAACTTTGGTTCCGGAGGGTGACCACCCTACAAACTAAACCCTAAGTGCTAAAATCCTAAACCCTAAACTTGAACTGAATCGTGTAACTCCCATGTCTGAGAAGACTTCTAATAGTAGGCCGAGGAACCCCGACCTCACCACAGGTGCTGACAATGCCACCACGACTCAGGCGACAGCGCATAATGCAGTGGCCTTTCTAATTACCTATACTATCTTGGGGGTTCCTTATTCTAATTATAGTATGACGGGCCCCTGTTTCTATTCTAGTTTTTTAAGGCGCCTATACTATTCATAATGAACCGCCAACAGTACAGCTTGTCCCCACTATGCTATGCAAGCGTTAAGGTTGTGGAAGCTAAGGTCGAAATGCACGATCCCCGGCTATGCCGAGGCTTGGATGCACTCCATAGCATGCACTCGCATGCATTCACCAGCCGATTTCGTCAAGACCTAAACCCTGTACCCTCAACCTTGAGCAGGCCCTAACCCTACCTTAAACCCTAAATCCTAAACCCGAAACCCTAAACCCTACCCTAAACCCTAAATCCTAAACCCGAAACCCTAAACCCTAAACCCTAAACCCTAAATCCTAAACCCTAAACCCTAAACCCTACCCTAAATCCTCTACCCTCAAGCCTAGGAGGATGGGAGCCGGGACAGCACGAAGGAGGAAGAAGTCTGCGTGGACAGGTTCGAGAGTTCCGCGGCCAAGATCACGATGTTATTCGTTGGGTTTAGGATTTAGGGTTTAGGATTTAGGGTTTAGGACTTAGGGTTCAGGGAATTGGTCTAAGACTAAGTCGCCGTATGCTTCGCGTGATAAAAACTCGCATCTGGTGTGTGTGTGTGTGTGCTAATTTCGTGGGGGCAGGTTTCGCAAGCTGCTGGACTTGCGTGAGCCTTCTTTTTTTGTTTGCGGCTCTAAGCCTTGCTATTTCGAGGTTTCGGGATTATGTGATTGTTGGATTTTGGCGTGCTCGCGTGTGCGAGAATCGCTTCTGGGCCGTGCCTTTGCACCAACCCCGACCTTAAACCTTTCTTTCATATTATGTTCAACGCTAAAGGACTCGCGGGCAATGGCGATTTTCGGGCTTTCTTCGCCATTGCCCACGGACAGGTCAGGAGTTTCTGCTGGGCACACCTAGTCTATTCGTTGGCACTGTATGCAAAAAGGCAATCTAAGGGGTTTGTTTAGGGTTTAGGTACACCATGATCATGTTTTTTGATAATCAAGGTGCACCGTCCTTACTTCCGTAAACCTTCCACCCCTGAACCATGATCATGGACTCTTGAAAACGGCAATGACCATCATGATTATGATGATGATGATGAGGAGGAGGAGGGAGGGATGCTCGTGCTTAAAGGATCATGGAAAATAGTAACTAGGACTATAAATATGGTATCTATACATATAAGTACTTAGAACCCCAATTAGGGTACTTATAACCTTACTTACTAAGCCCCCTGATCCTCCAAGTGCCGTTGATATCGCCAGAAGGCTCGCAGCAGCAGGTGTGGCGACCTCGCCGGGCGGCATAGTAATTGCAGCGACGACGAAAAGCAGTGGGAGAGAAAAGCAACCGCATCTCCGAACCCTAAACCCTAAACCCTACATCCCAAACCCTGAACCCTATACCCTACTTAGAGGATCATGGGATTTAGTAAGTAGGTTATAATTGGGGTTATAAGTCCCCTAAGTGGGGTTATCCTAATTATAACCTACTTATAACCTTACTTACTAAGTCCCATGATCCTTCAAGTAAGCCCTAAACAAACCTCAAGCACATCCAGAAGGGAGGGCTTGAGACGGCTGGTAGATAGGTCTGCCCTCACGGATTTCGGGGTGGGAAGGCTTTAGGATATAGGAGTTTCGTAAGACAAGGGGGTACCTTGGGGTTCCTTTAAAGGGTTGCTGCAAGGGTACTGTAAGGGCCTTACAAGTAGGGTACTATATTAGGGTCCCTGTATTTTCGGAAGCCCTCGTTTCGGGATCCGAGGCTGTCCATGCCACGCTACGTGGGAGAGGCAGTGCAGGAAAGACGGCCTTATATGGTGCCAGGGCATCGCCACCCCATGCCGCTTTGTGGCAGAGTTAGGCAATGATCGGAGGCCTCAACAGGTGGGATGCAGGTAGGTAGGATCAAGGATCCCTTATATAAGGACTCTTATTTGGGAATATCCCACCTACCTTCATCCTACCTTTTGAGGCCTCCGAAATGAGTGTCACGAGCCCAAGACAGCTGCCAAAGTGCTCTAAATGCAAACCGACCCAGAAGCCCCTTCAAGATCGAGAGTGTAACGGTTGATGATATAAATCCTGCATTACCCGTAATTAAAGGACCGGATAACCCCACATGACAGCGATGCTCTGGTCAGCATCAAAGCAGTGCAAAACAGAGTGATTTAGATATGTAAATATGCGTGCGCACTCCGCGTGGGTGTCCGCGCCGGTTGTGTGTGTTGTGCGTGTGCGTGTGCGTGGGCGTGGGCGTGTGGGTGTGGGTGTGTTGTGAGCTGTGTGCTGTGTGTGTGTGTGTGTGTGTGTGTGTGTGTGTGTGTGTTGTGAGTCGTCTGTGTTGTGTGTTGTGTGTGTTGTGTGTTTGTGTGTTTGTGTGTTGTGTGTTGTGTGTGTTGTGAACACCGACAAGGACAAAAAAGACAGCGAGAGAGAGAGAGAGAGACAGACAGAGAGACAGAGAGAGAGAGAGGGGAAGAGAGAGAGAGAGAGAGACAGGGAGACAGAGAGAGAGCGAGAGGAGAGTGATTGTTTGTGTTTATATATATATATATATGTATACACATGTATTTTTGTGGTTGTCTGTCTGGGGTACGTGTCAGTGTGCGTCTGCACGCACCTTCAGGTCTGACGATGTTGAGAAACATGGCAGTCATTTCTTCTTCTGATTCTTCTTCTGATACGATAAACGCAGAAGACGCTTCAGGTCTGCGTTCTGCTCCAAGATTTCACCTGCTTGGTCCTCAGCAATCTGTCCGTATCCTCGGAATGTCCTGTGCAGACACAGGACTGAAACTGTCAGTGTGGACAAGACTTTCGGGTAGTGATGTGGCCGGCCTGGCATCCGCGATTCGTGCGTACAGCATGGCAACCTCCTCTGGCACAGAGGCCAGTTTTAGATCCTGCACCATCTTCTGTCGACCGCTGTGAGACCTGACTTTCTCCGTGTCAATCCAAACACCTTTCGGAGTCTGAAACGTTTTACGAAGCCGCTGGATGGCTTTGCACACAGTGTCTTTGCATCGATTTACTTGTTTGCTATCCTTACGAACAGCAGGAAACAACAAGGCATTATTTTCCTTTGGGAAGGTCCACACATCTTGGAAAGGACGCTTACCCAGGATTCCTCTTGCGCGGCTCCTTTGTTTGCTAAGACCCTTGCTTTTTAAATGGCGCAAAACCTGAAACACGGCCGAAATCATGGGTTTCTTCACAGATTTCTGGCCTTTGAGCGGCTGTATCAAGACTGTTCGAGCCTTCCAACTGAAGTGTCCTGCACGTAGCTGTAATGCTTCTGTAACTCGCAAGCACAGAAGATGTGTTAGGAGCAAGCAGGCGTGCAGCCAGCATGAACCACTTTTATGAACATGTGCTAGCCACATAGCCCACAACTGCCCGGGCATGCTGGATGCTTTTCCTCTGCTCTTCACGGATCTCTTCTTCGTCGTCGCCTTGCGTGATGTCCGAGGTTTCTGCACACGCAAGGCAGGAGATTTAGCCATGGTGTGCCAGGCAGGATGGAGCTGGATAATTG